GTCTTCATGCGGGGACGATATAGCGATTGCCTGAACTTGCAAGAACTTGTGGTTGACTCGCCTGACCTTGCTGCCAGGCCGTTACTCGGGTATGTTGAGGGTTCTGTGTCGCGATGCAAGACCGCGTATACAGTTGAGCGGAAAACGCAACTTTTGCCCATGGTCGCGCCGCGGCAAGGTGTGTCAGGCCTTGACTGGTTCTCCGCTTGGTTGGAGTTGAGGAAGCGTGCAAGGGTGCCTGTGGGTGCTGGGGTGCCTTTACTACCTGCTCCGAACGGGGAAGGGTGGCAGCGCGTCCCGCCGACTGCAGCCATGGCTGGTGATTGGCTGCGCAACATCCTGAAGAGTCGCGGTCACGACGGAAGTCTGGTTTCTCGCATTGGTACTCACTCGTGCAAGACCACAACGCTATCTTGGATGAGCAAGGCTGGTGTGGATCTACCGACGCGGAGGTTACTTGGGTATCACGCGCAGGCTGACGAGCGCACACCTTTGGTGTATTCTCGTGATGCGATGTCGGGGCCAGTGCGGGCGTTGGAGGGCGTGATCCTGATGATTCACAAGTCAGAGTTTTTGCCTGATGCTTCTCGTTCAGGTTACTTCCCGAAAGCGGTGAAGCCGCCAGTGCCCGCTCCTGATGATGATGAGTGCTCCGACAGTGAGGATTCGGCGGATGAAGAAGACAACCAAGAAGACTTGGATAAGACTGATGCGGCCGAACAAGATGTTGTCGGCGAGTGGAGGCACATCAATGAGGCCGCAGGCGGGAGCGCCGGCGAGGCGCCTGTCTTCCGCAACAAGCTCTCGAGGACGATCCACCGAGTGGTGGACGGAGCGGAAGCCAAGTTCCGCTGCGGGAGAGGCAACTCAGCGAACTATTCTAGACTGGGAGCCTTGCCAAAGTTCGCGTATCCGATGTGCAAAGGCTGCTTCAATGTCTAGTCTAGTTAGCGAGCCCAAGTGCTCGCTATACGCCGAGGGCAAAACAAGTGAGCTGGTGCTGAGAGTTCAGCAGAGACCTTGCAAGGGCTCACAAGAAGGGTCAGTGGACCCGTGAGCTGCGAGCGCAGCATGTTAAGTGCTCGAGTGGGCTCAAGCAGAAGCAGCATCATTGAGATTGATCTTGCGTGATCCTTGACTAGGAAGATTGCAGCGTGCGCTACCTTGCTTCAACGTTGCGTGCAGTCTCGTTTCTAGGTAACTGTGCTTTGCTTTTGCTCTGTTTGCTGCTGGGTTGCGTGTAAGTAGCCTGTCGACTTTCGCCGCCATGTCTGTGACTGATAGTACCCCGAACTTTCGAGCTCGTGCGACTTCGCTTGGCCTTGCAGGTGATGTGTTGGACCTCATCGTGGACTCCGGCGTCAACGCTCTTGCAAAGTATGCTTTCAGTAGTTCGTATGTACCTGGCCAGCCCGACGAGTCCCCTTTTGTACGGGCCATAAAGGACATGCTAAAGCGCGATGCCACAGTAGGAGAACTGGCAGTGATGCGACGACTGTTACATGAAGCGTACAGCATGGCGTCTGCAGAGCTCCGTCAGTCCGTGGAGAGATCCGAAGATGCACCCACAAAGAAACTTGCGCAGCCCGAGAGGGCAGATCGCTTGGCAAAGCAGCAAGCAAGGCTTGCAGGCCTAAAGATCGAGGGCGCCCTCGAGCCCGCGGATCGGCTCATTGACTTGATGGTGGCGCAATATGAAGAGAACCGCGTTTCACATGTCGAATTGTCAAGATGCATCAGCAAAGAGCAAGAAGTTCTTTCCGCGTCGAGCAAGGAAGATCGGCACTTGACGATCGACAGCGCAGGCACTGTCAGGATCAAAGGTAAAGAAACCCACCTGAGTGCCGACCTGTCGTCCGACTTGCTGTTGCGGTACGCCTTGACACGGCGGGGGCTTGCCTGTGATCAGGCTAATCTCTTGGCCTTTTCGCACCATGACGCGTGGACTGAGCGGCTGATGAGAGCTCGTCTTGAACCGCCGCCCCCAAACTATGCCCCAATATCGCAAGCGCAGGTCATTGCCGCAGACAGGAAGCTCTGGGTCAAACTAGCTGAACTCACTCGCGCAGGAGTTCAGGTCACTGCTGCAGGACGCCCTCTTGACGCAGTTTGGGCGCAGGCGTGCGATCATCCGGATGTGTTGCATCTGTTGCAGCCCATGCCTGTGGCGTGTGGATCGACACCCCTCTTCCGGTTTGGCAAGGGTGAAGGCGCCGAATCCAAAGGGTCGGGCAAGTTCAGGGGTGGTCCTTACGGGCGTGGAAAGGGTGCTGGTAAGTCCAAAGGCGGAGGTTTCGTTCCAAAAGCCTTGGAAGGAGGCGTCAGTTGCACCACTCAGGGCCATGCGTTGTGTTTCGGCCACAACCTTGGCACTTGCAAAGAAAAGGTCGAGAGGCAGCGTTGTTCCAAAGGATTGCACTTGTGCTGCTTTCCAGGTTGTTTCGGAAACCACAGATTTCTGGATTGCCCAAAGCGCGGTGACAAGCGCGAAGCTGCTGAGTGACTATCAGCTGAGTTGTCGGGGCCTGGGGTGACGGCGCCGTCAGATGGTGAGGTATTTTCCGTGGACCCATCGTTGGCAGATCGCAAAGAATTGTGCGTTGTGCCGCTGCCTTGTCCAGAAGAGACGAGTAGCGTGTCTGCGCATCGCAAGGCGGATGCCCAATGCGTTGTTGAAAGCGCATCAATCCCTCTTAGCTCTAAACCATTAGGTAGCCCTCTTGTTGGAGAGGTTGGTGATAGTAGTTCCTGTTCCCACTGCTGCCTGCGTTCCCGCGAGGTTGATGCGTTCCCGAATTCCACCTCGTGTAGTGAGGTGTTACCTCGCGTTGAAACATCTCTGTCGGATCGGCCGCGCTTGGGTGGCAGGGGGCAAGTGTCGTGTCAAGTTCCGCGTAAGGGCTTGGTGCTTGAGTTGTGTGCCAGAAGCGCTACACTGTCAAGCTGTTTTGCAGAAGCTCGGTTTGAAGTGCTCCCTGTTGATCACCAAACCAATCGGTACCATACTCTTGCAAAAACGTGCAATCTGAGCCTCGCCGAGGAGTCGTCTTGGGAATATCTTCGATGGGTGTGCGAGACTTTCCCAGTGCAGTTTGTTCATGCAGCTCCCCCGCATGGTACTTGCGCCAAGAAGCGAGTGAGCGTGAGGGGTTTGGATCGTGCGCCTGTCCGTAGCGAAGCCTGGCCGTGGGGTTTCCCTGATCTGTCTAGCGCTGACAGGGCTCGTGTTGATTGCGCCAATGCAATCCTTAAGGGCTTGGTCAGTTTCATTTCCTTCCTCGATGCCAAGGGCATCTTGTGGTCACTTGAGAACCCCAAAACCTCAATGTTGTGGGAGTTGCCACCTTTGCGTAGCATACTTGAGAGATCGCATTCTTTCTGCTTGCAGGCGTGTGCGTACGGTGGGCCGCGACCCGGCTGGCGCATGTTTGTGACAAATGTACCAGGCCTGCGTTCTTTAGCCGCCTCCTGCCCTGGGGGGCACGTGCATCAGCACTTCTTGTGCGAGCGTGGTGGCAGTGAGGATGCAAATTATCCACGTCCCTTGTGTGTGCAGATCGTTCAACAAGTTTGTCTGGCTCTTGGTGTACCAGCTTTAGATGAGCCCAGCGCAGCACCTGTACATGCGTCGCATGCAATTACGGTAGCCGCTTGCAAACAGCCGCGGGGGCGTCATATACCCCCTGTCATGTCAGAATTTGCGGACATCACTTCTTTGGACCTGGATCGAGTCCCGCCTGTGAACACTAAGCGTCGCTTGTTGACTGCGTGTCGTCATGTGCCAGCCGGCTCCAAGCTGCTGTCTTTTGTCAAAGTGGGGGATGAGCAGGACAGCAGCTTTAGGTGCTTCTTTGGCTGCTATCGCACCAAGGAAGTGTTTCTGCGTGAGGCCATGCGTCTAGTTCATCCATTCGACAAGTTCCTGCCTTTGCCAGATGAGGTCAAGAGGACCCTGTTCGCTACCTTGTGTCATGGCCCCGCGTGGATTGCAGCGCGCCGTGCAGAGACTTTAGGCAAATGGACGTCGTGGGCGGCAGATCTTTTGCCCAAGGATTTGGAGCTGCGTTCGAGTCTTGAGCCTGGGGTTCGTAAAGTGCTCAAGTCAAAGCGTTTGCTGTTGCTTCAGAGGATTGCCGAGGACATTGATTGGCCTGATGCTGGGCTGTTTCAGCAGATCCAGGAAGGCTTTGAGCTGGTAGGGAATCAAGGGCCCTCGGGCGTCTTTGCAACGGAGTTGCGTCCCGCTCAGCTCACCGTGTCGCAGCTTGACGATCTAGTAAAAAGCATGAAGCCAGCCTTGTTAGGGAAAGTTCGCTCCGCAGATCTTGACGATGATGCGCAGTTGCTGTGGGACAAGACTATGCAAGAAGTGAGCGAAGGCTTGCTGGAGGGTCCCCTCACAGTGCAGCAAGTCGAAGAGAGATATGGTGGGGCATGGATCCCAGTTCGTCGCTTTGGCGTGTGGCAATCGTCTTCAGGCAAGCAGAAGCTCCGACCAATTGATGATTATTCGGAAAACAAGGTTAATCTAGCTTTTGGTTACGCTGATAAGATTGATCTGAGAGCTTTAGATCAGCTTGTTTGCTCGGTGCGTTTGTGGATGCAGCAAGTCCTTGCTGATGGCAAGGTGGCCATTGAGTTGTCGGATGGTTCGTGCCTGCGTGGGTCCATCCATCCGTGCTGGCGCTCAGAAGAGGGACGGTTGCTCGAGCTCGCCACGTTGGACTTGCGTGCAGCTTACAAGCAGTTTCCTCTGTCCCCGAAAAGCCGAGCTTTGTCCGTCTTAGTGTTGAAGAATCCAGTGTCGAAGGAGGTCGCTTGCTTCGAGGCTAAAGCTCTGCCATTCGGGGGCACAGCAAGCGTTGTGCACTTCAACAGAGCCGCAAGGCTGCTGTGGGCCATAGGCCAACACCTGCATGTGTGTTGGCTGAATTTCTTTGACGATTACCCAATCCTGACGCCTAGGGTATTGGCCGGTTCGACAAAGCAAACACTGAAAGCCCTCGTTGATCTGCTTGGCTTTGATTGCTCTTGGGAGAAGTGGCAGGACTTCTCTACTCGCGCCACAATGCTTGGGGTGGAAGTTGACCTTAGTGATGTTGCGTCGGTTGGCGTTAGGATTCGCAATAAGGAAGGCAGGGCCGGCCAAGTTGTCTCCACTGTTGAGGAGCTTCTGCGAAAAGAGAGCATGCCTGCTCGTAAACTTCTGAGTGTGATGGGACGAATCCAGTTTGCAGATGCCCAAGTTATGGGGCGGACGGGAAGGCTCGCGCTTGCCGAGATTCGTCGATGGTCTAGAAACCATGTTGACCGCGTTACCGTAGGGCGTGAGTTGATGGAAGCCTTCGGAGTCCTTACCGACCGGCTCTCAAGTGGGACGCCTCGCGTTGTGCCTTGTGAACTGCCGAAGCAGCCAGTGTTGGTTTTCACTGACGGGGCTAGTGAGGATGCGTTGCACACTGTAGGCGGGATCCTAATAAGGCCTGGGTGTGATGCGCGGTTCTTTGCTTGCCATGTGCCATCTGAGCTTGTGAAGGCTTGGGAGGGCTCGCTGAAGCACCTGATAGGGCCGGTTGAAACTTACGCCGCTCTTGTTGCGAGAGCCGTGTGGCACCAGTTCCTGTCGGGCCAAACATACCTGCATTTCATTGATAACGTAGGCAGCCAGGATAGCTATGTCAAGGGCACCTCGACGAGCGCTATCATTCGCTCCCTGTTAGTCTCCTATGAGAGGATTGAGTCGAACGGGGCTTCTTGGCCTTGGTTCGCCCGGGTACCGTCAGACTCGAACCCTTCTGACGAGCCGTCTAGAGGTGTCTTCGACGGTATTGTCAAGGAGCTCGCGGCAAAGCGCGACGTGTGTTTATGTCCCATGACAGGCAGGGAACTTTGTGGCATAACTTCTCAAATTCCTGAAGGTGTCGCGCGAGGTATATGTGAACTGGGGGAGCACGGCACCTCGTTGCGCCCCCATCAGAAAAGACGTTCAGTCGCTCTGGAGTTTGAGTTCAAGGGTTTTGCTAAGCGGTCAAAAGATTCTTTGGAAACCGCAGGGTTCCTAGGATATTTTGATTAAGCGAGAGAGGCTGGAGCCGAGCATGGCAAAACCTCTCTGTGCTACGCATGCGCACTCCTCTTTCTCTGTATGCAGTTGCTCAGCGAATGGGAGGGTGGTGGGAGCTGCTGCGCGGCAGCTGAGCTCAGAGTGATCCCCTCGCCCGCCCGCCCCTAACAGTTCAGGAGTGCGCTGACATATACCCGAGTGTCAAGAACAGAGCCTAACCCCTGCCGTCGAGCACGGCACCTCTTGCTCCTCATCATAAAATACTTGCGTCGCTCTGGAGTTTTGAGTTCAAGGTTTTTCTCTAGAAAGAATCGTCAAAAGACCAGACACAGTTAACAGTAGACACAGACACATACCAGACACAGACATAGACACAGACCAGACACAGAACAGAACAGACACAGACACAGACACATACACATACACAGACACAGTACCAGACACATACACATACCCAGACGCAGGGAATGGAGGTCTGGGAACCATCCGACCAGACTCAGACACATACACATAACACATACACTACACAGACACAGACACAGACACAGACACAGGACACAGAACAACAGACAGAGACAGAGACAGTAAGACAGAGGACGATACATAGACCGAGATAGGAGACAGAGATAGATAAGACAGAGATATAGATCAGAAGAGCAGAGATAGACACATATAGATAGACACAGAATAGAGAGACCCAGAGAGAGATAGAACCGAGATATGAGAACCAGAGTATAGATACACAGAAGAGATAGACACATAGAGTCAAGACACAGAAGACAGGACACATCTGAGAGACACATAGAGATAGACACAGAGAGACAGCCACAATATATGACACAGAGAGACACCATAGAGACACAGAGAGACACAAGAGACACCTAAGAGACACAGAGAGACCACAGAGAGACCACAGAAGAGAACAGCTACACAGAGAGACACAGAGAGCCCCAGAGAACACGAGAGACACAGAGAGACCAGAGAGACACATCGAGAGACACAGAGAGAACACAGTGAGAGACAAGAAGACAAAGAGAGGACACAGAGAACACAGAGAGACCAGATCGACACAGAGATACACGAGGATACGCACAGAGAGACTCACATAAGGACTGCACAGAGAGACGCACCAGAGAGACCAACAGCAGAGACGCCACATAGATGACTCAACATAGAGACGCACAAGAGAGAGTAAGTTGAGAAGTTGACGGCACCATAGAGACAGCACAGAGATCGCACATTAGAGACGCACAGAGAGACCACAGAGAGACACCACAAGAGTGGGAACACCACATAGAGACCACAGATAAGACACACAAAAGGACACACAGAGAGACACACAGGAGACACACGAAGAGGACACACAGAAAAGAGACACAAGAGAGACACACATATAGACACAACAGAGAGACCACAAGAAACACACATGAGAGACCACGAAGACACACAAGATACCACACAGAGAGACACACAGAGAACACCAGAAGACACACATAGATACACCCCTATATACACACAGGAAGGATGGAAAAAAAAAAAAAACAACACAAGAGAGGAACATCAAGCCACAGAGAGACACACAGATATACACACAGATAGACCCAAGAGAGCCACACAGAGATACCACATATATACACCAAGAGAGACACCACCAGAGCGACACACAGAGAGACACACAATAGAGACACACAGAGAGACACCAGAAGACCACAGAAGACCACAGAGAGACACCCAGATGACACAAGATAAGACAACACGAAAGAGACACAACGAGAACACACAAGAGACAACACAGAGAGAACACACAGAGAGACAACACAGAAGAGACCACCGATCTACACAAGATATAACCCACAGAGAGACAACACAGAAATCGAACACCAGAGAGACACACATAGAGCCCACAGAATTAGACACACAGATAGACACACAAGAGACACACTTCTACAATCGAGAGACCACAAGGCACACAGATAGACCACACAGAAGAACACACCAAGAGACACACAGAGAGACACACAGAGGAGAACACCATAGATGACCACATAGATAACACACAGAGATACACACAGAAATACTGGAGACACACAGATATACGACACATATATACAGCACAGAGAGACACACAGATCGACCACACAGAGAGAGACACCCATAGGAGACACACAGAGATAACACTACAGATAGAGACACACATAGATAGACACACACTAGAGAGACACACAGTTCCATTCAGAAAACGAAGAGAAAGCCCACAGAGATAGAACACACATAAAGAGACCCACATAGATAGACACAGAGAGAGACACCGGAGAAGAGACACCAAGAGAGATAACAACATAGAGAGACACAGAAGAGAACCACACATAGATACACCAGATAGACCACAGGATATGATACACACAGAGAGACACACCGAGCGACACACTTTGCTAATCGAGGGCAAAGACACCACCATGAGTTCATACGCCACAGAGATAACCACAGAGAGACACCAGAGAGACACACAGAGAATGACACACAAGAGGAGACACACAGGAAACACACAGAGAGACAACACAGAGAGACACACAGATAGACACACATAGAGACACACCAGAGGAGACAACACATAGAGACACACAGATAGACTCACCGAGAGAGACACACGAGAGCCACCAGAAGAGCACACGAGAGAAGACACAGCGAGAGACAACAGAGAAGACACAGATAGCGACACAGAGAGAGACACAGAGAGAGACACAGAGAGATAGCACAGAGAGATACACATAGAGAGACAACAGATAGAGACACAGAGAGAGACACAGATAGAGACACAGAGAGAGACACAGAGAGAGACACAAGAAAGAGACACAGAGAGAGACACAGAGAGAGACCCAGAGCGAGACACAGATTATAGACCATGCGAGAGACACAGAGAGAGACACAGATAAGACACAGAGAGAGACCCAGAGAGCGACACAGATAGAGACCATAGAGAGACACAGGAGAGAACAATGAAGGACCACAGAGAGAGACACCAGAGGACACAGCAGAGAGTACACGAGATAGACAAACATAAGACACACAGAAGACACACAGACACACAGACACACAGACACACGGACACACGGACACACGGACACACAGACACACAGACACACACACACAGACACACAGACACACACACACGGACACACAGACACACAGACACACAGACACACCGACACACAGACACACAGACACACAGACACACAGACACACAGACACACAGACACACAGACACACAGACACACACACACACACACACACACACACACACACACACACACACATGCATGAGTTTGGTCGCAGGGCTTTCGGGCTGAGGGCCTTGGTTCAACGCCTTGTTGAGGTTTCGTGCATGAAAGTGAGTGTGTGTGAGTGTGGGTTGGTGGGTATATTGGGGTGGGTGGGGGGCGGGGGGACTGTTTTTGTTGGGGCACTTGTTGTTCGTTCAAGGGCTTAGCGAGCTTTCGTCGCCACTTGCACGCAACAGACCCCCCGCATCCTATGCGAATATTTATCATCTGCCGTATGAAAACCGACAGGGCCAGCCCAAATTTTATGTAGAGGGAGTTGCATAACCCCTGGGGGTGCTGAGCAACTCTTTAGTACAGAGCTCATGGCAAAGCAATGTTTTGTACAGCTCAGGTGAGAAGTGGAACGGCGCCGCCTTCGAGGCCGAGCTCGGCAAGCATCCCAGACTTCGAAGCAGGGCTTCGGGTTTCAGCTTGCAGTGGGTTTTGTTCTTGTTTGGGTGCCTTACTTGGCGCGTCTCCCTTTTTGTAGCGCTCTGAATGTCAGTGATGGCGCCGGCTGCACACCGAAGACCCAAGGATGTCAGGGTGAAATGTGCACGGGGACGAGACAGCACGCAACCCACAGCAATCCTATTCCTCCCTGCTCTTGTAAAACCAGAGCCTTGGGGCTCGCATCCCCGTTTCTTTCCTCAGAGGGCTACTCGGCTACCTTCCCTCCCCTGAGTCGTCATCCTCCGAAAGCCCGAACACTAACCCCTTCATCCTTGAAAGCTTGCACGGAGGAACCGATGGGGCACTACGGGGCACGTGGTCGCGAGCTGCCCAGCCAGTTGGCAGCATATCATGGGGCTTAAAAGGCTCTTGGGGGGCGAGATCTTTCAGGATGTAGGGTGTTTAGGGTTGGCGTTTAGTGTTGAGGGTTTAGGGTAAGATTGTTGAGAGCTTGACGGGGTGGGTAACACCTATGGGGGCTGTACGCCGCTTCGACTTTCATTTCGGGGGTCGATTGAACGCGGATTCATCTCAGGAGCTGTTGAAGCATTTGGCTTCGACCTAGCCATTGATTGGCACATGTGGGCCCCCAGACTTTATCAGACTGCGAAGCCCTGAACCCCACACCCCAAAGCAAAGTCCTTCGAGTGTGACAAGCCTCGGGAACAGGTCGGGACGCTGGATTGCCCGCCACATCGGCAAGAAGAACACCCAGAGCTGCTTCAAGCTTCCTCCTCAGATGGCCCTAAAACTTGAAGCATCCTGCCCTACAGCAAACCAGACCACCAGCTCGCTCTCTACCCTCAGACCCATCTCCAAGAGAAAGGAAACTCAAGGCAGCTCGGGAGCTGTCCTCTTTTGTGGGCCTGTTCGGAATCTCCCCTCGACCTTTGTTCCCTTCTGGGCAGCTTTGGCCCTGCGGAGGGTTCAGTGCTGGTGAGCAAGAACCGACGGCAAGATTTTGGTATTTACATTGATCCTGCTTGATTTTTTGCATCGGAGCTTCCTTGTTCAAAGCCATTCGGGCCTTTCGTGAGCTGGATCTATGCCTGTGAGGTTGCTCCCCAAAACGCATACTGGCCCCTAGAGGGCAAACTGGGCGACTTGATGGTTTGGCAATGGACGTGTTGTTTTGCACGCATCATAAGACCTGGGTGGTGTTAGGCATGGGTCGGTTGACAAACCCTCCACCCCAAACCCGAAGCCCTAAACCCTCCAACCCAACCTCAGAACGACAAACTGCATCCGCGCCAAAGACTCCTGATTTGCCCCTAACCCCCCTAAACCCTCTAAACCCCCTAAACCCCCCTAAGCCCCAAACCCCCTAACCCCCCAATACCCCCAAAACCCCCCCCAAAACCCCCTAAGCCCTAACCCGACCTTGTTCTTTTCGCAGGCCCCAGGTCGACGAAGGCGGCAAGTGGGACGCCAAAGCCTGCGTGGCTCGGGAGCCCAGCTCTGGTTCAGGGTTTAGGGTTTAGGGTTTAGGGTTTAGGGTTCAGGGTTTAGGGTTTAGGGGTTAGGGTTTAGGGTTTAGGGTCTAGGGTTTAGGGGTTAGGGTCCCAAGTTGTTCTGAACCATAGCTCCTTGTGATTGAGGTCAAGACCAACATGCAGATGTCGGGGCCTTGAGGACGTATCCTTGCGACCAGGCCACAAACATGGCCGAACCGATGACAAAGGAAAGGCTAATCTTCGTACACCTGATGCCAACGTAGTCTCAAAAAAGTGCGAAGCTCATGAAGGCCCAGTTTGTGCATGAGTCGTTTCAAGTTTTCCGGTCACCTTGCTCAGGATCAGTGCTCGGCCGCAACCAGGTGACAAGGTGAAGCTCTCGAAGGCTCATGCCTCATTAAGCTCTGTAGCGATGTACATAGTGTCACTCCAGAACTTAGCCTACCGACTGCACATGGCTCGGGCTGTCAGCATCCCACGCACAGGCCACACTCTTTTCTGGTGCCTACATGAAATTGCCCGCAGGCTTACAAGCAGTTCGATGGAGAGGATGGCTGCCTCAAGCCTGGCACAGCCCTGAGCTTCAAGTTGTTTGAGTTCATGCTTGGGGTGAAGGAGGCCGAGTTGTTTTGGTTCCGGAAGCCTAGAGGCCCAAGCTCAACCCCTGAAACGCAAGATGCGCAGGCCAAGTGGGCACCCTGGTGGAAGATGACCGCTCCGTCCTTGGAGAATTTGCGTTCGATCCTACACTGGCATGTCGCATACAATCGCATGTTTGTAGGAGGGGGGGCCTAGACCCCAAGCACCGATCTGCCAGGAACCAGTTGCCCCTTCCTGGTGGAGGGCCCCAACGGCTGCACCCACTGGTACAACGATGGCGCTATCATTGCCGCCGCCTTACTGGCTGTTTGACGCGGCTCCAGGTGTTATAGTTATAACATGAAGTCGGGCCTTCAGGTACTCGTAGCAGCCAAGTTGCCAGCCCTGATGAACAACTCGTCATGAGCAGTCTCCGTCGTCGTCGTTGTCAAGAGCTTGTCGCACAACTCTCGCCTCAGTTTGTCTCTTTGTGCGGCCGAACTCTTGCAGCGCCAGCTAGCCTAAGGTTGTGAACAAGGACGACAAGGAGCTTCTGACTCCTCTTGGGGACATGCCGCTGCCTTGCTGTCAGCAGCTGTTTTCGCTTGATTCCGAAATGCCACATGGGCCGGGCCATGGGAATCATGTAGCGGCCCCGGAGCCAACAGCAAAATGCCCCCTCAACCCTCAAAAGAACCAAAGCCCCACGAAAGCCCAATACAGCCCTACAATGGCCTACAAAAACCTACAACAATATCAAAAACAAAAAATGTATGTATGTAATATAAAACCTAGAACAATATATATATATATATATATATACATATATATTCATATATATATATATAGACATATACAGCACACTATCAAAAGCCTGTACCCCGGCATCCTGCCCTTTCCGAGGTTCGAAGGGATGGCTCTCCTCCGCTTCCCCGTGCGCCCGGGCCCCAGTGAAGCGGCCAATCTTGTGGCTGAAAGCCGGCGGAATGCAGGTGGGGTTTAGGGTTCAGGGTTGAGGGTTTAGGGTTTAGGGTTGTTTAGGGTTTCGGCAAATCTGAAGAAATTCCGAAGGGGGGGGGGGTTCGTGGTGCACTATATACAAGGCTCCGTAGGCACAGGGGCCAGAATTTAGACAACCTCCCATGCGTTGTGCCCTTTTTCTCCCTTTCTATACGATAAGCCGAATCGACCATACCCAGAGTACCAAGATCATCACTAGGCTCCCCGTTTTGGACGTTGTCGGATCCTTCGGGGTTCCAGGTGCGAAGGAAGATCGAGCTTCAAGGTTTGGGATGCTCACGTCCAGAAAGCCATCAGCCACGGCCACTAGGGGCGCTTGAAGCCTGACGAAGACAGGGCCTAAGCCTGCCAGAGCCCTGAAAACCTAATCCTAAGGTTCCAAAACCCGAAAGCCCTCTGAGGCGAGGGCACCTGGTATGCTGAGCTGGAAGTGAGCAAGCTTGGCAAGCTGGGCCCCCAGACCGAGCAAAGACTTGGGCTGCCGGGGCCTCATGGGTTCCTTAACCCCTTTGTTTAGAGCAAAAAAAAAAAGGTTTTTAGGGTTTGTAGTTCCCCTGTAGCCTACAGGTACGTGCCTGCCAGTATGCTTTTTGAGGAAAGCTTAATCGGCACCTTAAGAGAATGTCAAGCAACATCTCCGGGAACGGGGGGGGGGGGGGGGCGTTCTGCTGCAGCAGCAGCTGCTTCTAGAAACAAAAGAAGGAGATCGCACCTTCAATGTGTGTTAGCACATGCCACAAAGTCTCACTTATAGGGCCCAACTACAGTCTGCAAGTCTGCCTCAAGTGACCTGGTCAAGGTCTCAGCCATGCGTCGGATGGGGCCTTCAGCATCCTGGCTGATCCAGGTCTCTGAACTGGGCATGTCAGGATTTAGGGGGAGGCTGCAGGCCTCGGATTCTTTCTGCCTTTTGTATAGAATGTATGTATATGAATATGCAGTGTATATGATGGTGTATGAAGGACCTTTAGGGTCTATTTGGTGAGGTCTCCTCTAGCACCTTCTAGCCTTTTGTTCGACCGACCTTTGAAATTCTACTAAGATTCGAGAATCTCGGCCTCTGAGGGAAAATTCTAGAATTCTAGAAGTTTCCAAATCCCAAAACTGACAAAATCCAGAACTTCGGCCTTTCAGCAATATTCTCTGGAAAATCTAGAATTCCAACAGTCTAGAAATTCTGCCTCTAAAGGAAATTCCGGATTTCTAGAATTTCTAAGATGCAACGGACCACCACACACACTTACATCTGATATCATATTATAGCATATTATATATCGTCTAAGTTACATGTCGGTGTTTGGTGTTCTGTGTTCCGTATACTCATGTGGGCCCAAAGCAGCTTGAGCTGCTCTGGCCGCTTTGGACCCATGGGTGTTCGCACTTGTTGCACTTGCACTGACTCGGCATGCAATATAATCAAATAGAACGTAGCTAAAGTGTGTGTATATATGTATATATCAAGTACAATGTGTACATATCTATATATATATATATATAGACATATGGTGACAGGTGTGTACCAGGATTTAGGGCGACCTTTTTCAGATTGCTTGGCCGCAAAACAGGTCCAAACTTCGCATGGCAGGGTTAGGGCTTAGAAGGGCTTCTAGGTACGATATAGGGTGTGCCCAGGAAGACAGGCTCTCCGAAAATCGTCCGCCTCATGGCCATTGGCGGCAAGAGTGCTGCCTCCTGTCTGTATTTGGGACAACTTCTTCGAATGCGGGTCTTGGGCCACGGCTCCTAGGTTATCAGTAGATCCTCAGGTGTGTGGCTGGTTGTTCTTACCATTTTGCTACATCTCAGCAATGAATCGCACGCCTCGATGAGACGATTCTTGATTCTGGTAAGGATCTAGGTTGCCTAGGGCTGTGCATTTTTTTTGGATTGTTGCTGCGCTGCCACTGCCCTGCTTTCTTGGATCGTCACCGCTATGTGAACTGCTTGTGGCATCAAGGTCAAGCTGGACCTGGGCGGCTTGCCAGCATCTTTGACAGTCTGCAGATGCAAAGCCGCTGGCGCTCAATGGCCAAAATGCTTCCGACACGTCAGAGCATCAGCTTTCCGCATTGACACGGCACTGGGCGGGCAGGAGAAGGTGCGCCGCCAAGGAAGAAGAGCAAGAAGAAGTCGGACCGAGTTTTCGGGTCTCAAGGGCGAGGCTTACGGTTTTCGGGCTTTGCAGTTGCTTTCATATGCTTGAAGTGACGCTCAGAGATTCACTGGGGGCACGTCTCTGCACAGAAAGAAACCATAAAGAGACAACATTGCCATTGTCTCGGCATGGCCGCGGAACACCCAATCAATCCCCCCCCCCCTCAGGACCCTACACAGTCTGGTGAGTCAGCCATCCTCAGCCGGAAACCTTCATGCCTAAAGCTCAACTTATTTGACTTGGCTCTGAAACTGCATAAGATTACAGACCCCATGGTCACCGCAGGATGAAGAAGGAGATGGGCAAGAAGAGGCGAAGTTTTACTTTTGTGAGGGGCGGAGAGTTTGGGGGAATCGCATCAGAAGAACACGACTTTAAAATTGTATTTGGCAGATTCCGAAGGCAATGCCTCGAAGTCGAAATGTACTGACGTACAGCTGTGCAACACCTATTTGGACAAATTTCCTAAGTTTGTGGGCGGCCTTGTGACTCATGACCTTCTGATGTCTAGGGAGCATTGTGCGTAAGCTCGTGAGCCACAGAAGAGAAGTCGTGCAATTGCAGCATTAGCTAGAGCCTGTATGCTATTCGCAGCTGCGCCTCCCCGAAAACATTTGAGCATGACGCTGCGCCTCAACGCCATGCTGCTCGATATGAATACTGCGAGTAGACCCCCGAGATCCCGGGGCACTTTGTAAGCCCACAGATCTACGTAGACCCAAGACCCTGAGACGGCAACACCAATAGGGCTCATGCTTTCTCGGGTAACGAAACCTCTGCATCTTCTGGCTCAAGGCCGCATGGCTTGTGGTCTGTGTGGTCATCCATAGACAGTCGCTGCAGCTTGTTTTAGCTGGCTGCCGGCTGCTGCTGGATGAAGTCTGGGCATCTGTTTCTCTGCATCGCGTGGTGCCTTCGCCACGTCTCTGCCGCGGATGTTGCACGGAAGGCGGTACTCGGCGATGAAGGGGGTCTTGGCGGGTTCAGGGTTTTTGTTTCGCCTCCCGTACAGGAGGCCTCTCCGAAAAAGTGTCGTGTCGTCCCCGGGTATGCCCTCGCAACCCAATGTCGGACCATGCTAAACTTGCTAAACCATGCTAAACTCCCTATAAATCCCCAACATACCCTGGCCCCAAACCCACGCCGCTCTCCGGAGGTCGAGAGGCTGCTCGAGGAGCTTGTTCGGCCTGGCGCAGTGGAGGCCAAGGAAGGCCCGGGCCAGGGAGGGGCCGCCTTAGAATAGTACCCCCAAAAGGGACCGTAATTTAGAGAAGTGACCATGTAAACTGGTGGCAGTCAGTCTGAGTATGTTGAGGTGTAAACTTTAGGTAGTCTGCCGTCTACCGGCCTGTCCCACAAACCTCGCCGTTTCGATGTTGCATAGTGCGGCCTGGCCGCTTCTGAGGCCTGGATTTTGCGTCCGTGAAGGAAGACGCTCGGCTGTGTTGTGGCCCTGACGGTTTTTCATGGCCCTCGGATGAAGGTTCTGCCCCGATCCAACATGATTCAACAGATTTAACTGCTCCGTCTCTACCCCTCTGAGCCACCCAGCCTTCCCTGAACCCTCTAAAGCCGCAACAACCATCCCAAACCTCCCCCCCTCTCTGCCCACACAAACACATGCTGAAACCCTATCAAAGTGCCCGATATACACTTCAAACATACTTAGGCCCCTATGCGTCTCTCCGCCTTCCATAGGAATTGGAAGCTTCCGGCTCCCACGGCTGCTTGGCCATGCTCAACCTCTTCGGGGTGGCGGATGGGCAGGGCGAACTGCGGCTGCCAAAAGGTGGGCGCCTAAAGGGGCGGGTAGAAGTATAAGGGGGGGGGCATGATGGGGGAGAAGGAGTACGCGGGGTATAAGGGGAATACAGGGTCCCTGTAAGGGGTACAAGGGGTATCTTGGGGTGTAAAAAGTTTCAAGACTTATAGGGAGAAGGATAGACGGGGAAGAGTTTGGGTTGTAAAGATTTCAAGATTTATTGGGAAGTTTTCGGGTTCAGGGGTATCAGGGCAGCAGGGGCATCGGGAGCATCGGCGGTAGGGTTTGGAGTTTAAAGACTTATAGAGCTAGGGGGCTGAGAGCATTCTGGCTTTGGCGCGAAGGCTTCGAGCCCACCCTTTGGAGTTCAGGGTCCTAAAAGACTTCAAGTTAAGGGGTTAGAGTCTTGGGGGTGAAAAAGGGCATAGGGGGCAAGGTCCAGTGGCTCCATGCCCGTTTCCAGGCTTCCCCCGGGACGCAACGGTGGGTCGGAGGCATCTCGCCAAGGCGGTGGCGACGCCGAGGGCCCAGGAGGATGCGTACTTCCCCCCCTTTCCCTCTTTTCTTTTTGTCTTTTTTTGTTTTTATAACTAGTGCCTACTTGTAGGGCATATATAAGGGCACTAAACAGGATGAATTCCCCTAGCAAAGCATAGGGGATGGTTCTTTTTGTTTCTGACCTTTTGAACCTTTCAGGTGTGCTTTGGCTTCTAGACTGCTTTTGTTTGGACCTGGCTGTTTTGAGAGTTGAGTTGGAGGTACTGCTTGTGGAGCATGATTCAAGTATAGGGACGCCGTTTGAAGTGCCTTCAAAGTGTGCCAAGTCCTCGCAGGATCCGTGGTCGTTCACGCTCCTGGGGCTTCTTCTGTCGGTTGGCAGCCCGGAGGCGGCGCGGCCGTTTCGGTTGTCAAGTGGGGCCTGCAAATACCGTAAGCTAGCTTCCGAAAGAATCCTAAATCCCGGAACCTTAGGATGTTCCCCTTATCTACAAGCAGTCTTGAAGAGGGATTATGGTACCTCTAATCCCTGCCAAGGATGGACTCTTGGTATAAGGGGGAGCATCCCGACCCGAACCCCTCAAGCCCCGAGGTCGCCGGGCTGCAGTTGGAGGTGGTCGCCGGCCCTCAGGTGGTGGTGAGGAACCCCGAGGCTCTCCTCGAAGAGCCGGGAAGTGCCGCCAGCTCCCCAAAGGACGGGAAAGAGGCTGACCCTGTGGTCCATTGTGTCCAGGCTGTAGCCTTAGGCCTACTTATGCGACTACATTATGAGGTAGTACAGAGGATATATGGGAGAGGCCTGTGGTCCGGTTGTGGTGAAAGCATGCCAGGCCTTCGACAGCGTTGGGGCCGCATTCTGGGAGGCCGCAGAGCGCAAGGAGCCGCTGGGCAGCATCGTCTTCGCATCTCTCGTTCGCCGTGGGCTCACGGATGTTCCGATCTCGTGGACACGGCCACAAGCAGACGCAGAGGACAAGTCATTGCTCCACCGCATCCCAGACCTCCTTGGAGGCAAGCTGGATGCTGTGGCCTCCGAGCGTGCCTGTAGGGCGCTGAGTACCCTGATTACCCCGGCCAGGGATGCGTCGGCGAACGAAGAGCCCCTGCTGGACAAGGCTGCTCTGACATGGAAAGCGTGGCGGCACCGCGAGCGACGCTTGCCTAGTGACGAGGATTGGCAACAGACCAAGGAGTACGTTGACCATGTCAAGCATGGAGCCGAGGTGATGCAGCAGCCTCAGAGCATGCGGGAGCTAGCGGCTCTGCACTTTCAGGGTCATACGGAGGCGAAGCTGGCACAGAACAAGACGCTGGCAGAAAGCTACTGGACCCAAGCTGCCCGTGAGGGCGATGTGTGGTCAGCTTGGCACGCGGCCCTCAGTTATCTCCGAGATGGCAAGGTCGAAGTGGCGGGCCCTTACCTGGACATGGTAGGCAACTCCTCCGCTGCGCCCTTGGCCTTCATGGCACTCCACTTCAAGTTCCGGTTCGGTGTCGGGCAGACCAAGGATCCGACTCAGGCGGGGCAGTTTCTGAAGGCGGCTGCTGACTTCGGCAACTCCAACGCGCAGCTGATCCTGGCACACAGCTATATGGGGTACACGCATGGGAACATGGAGGGTGTGTATCCTCCAGGCGGGCCCGACAAAGCTGCAGCCCTGGTCTACTACAAAGTTGCTGCTGCAAATGGCCGCCTCGTGCCCAAGCTGAATGCAGGTTTGCTGATTGCCCAAGGTGCTGACCCTTCCATCCCTGAAAGAGACGTGCAGTGTGCCGTGGCATATCGTGAGCTGGCTGAAGTAGTCCACGCAGCTCATCCCAGCGCACACTTGCTATTCGCCCATGCTCGCAGATCCTTCATGCTGGGGGATTTGCTCGGGGCTCGCCTCCGCTTCGCCCTTCTCAGTGACGCTGGGTTTGTGATGGCGCATCTCAACTTGGCTTGGCTTTGGGACCAGGAGGCTCGCAAGCAGGCATCCTTCTGGGGATTCTGGGGCCGGTGGAGCGCAAGCCACAGCCCAGTCGTGCCAGCTTCGCTGGCCGCCCTGTACTATCGGCGTGCTGCAGCCGCGGGGCATGTGCCATCCATGACCGAGGTGTCTGTGCGATTGCTCAAGGAGGCTGACCTCGCCGGGATGGCCGGCACTTCAGAGACCGTGGTGGCTCTGCAGGCAGCGGCCTTCCGCTGGACGGCCCTGGCTGCGGAACGCGGCGACGGTCGCGCAATCTTCGATCAGGCGTACCTGCTGCAGTTCGGTATCGGCACGCGCCAGGACGAGCAGCTGTCGCGAAAGCTCTACGGCAAACTGCTGGGAGGAAGCAGTGGCTGGTCGGCGAGGGTGGCAGCGCTGAGCTGGATGGGGCTTACTGCAGCCCGCACCTATTTCCTCAAGACATGGGATGGCCTGCGGCCCTTGCTGGGCTCCCTGGGCTCTCTTGCATCGCTAAGACTCCCGCACTGGGCAACGAGGCAGGTGCAGGGCACCGAGGTCACCGAGGAGGATCGCGCAGCCCACGCGCTCTTTGCGCGAGGAAGGCGGCTACAGGCTTGCAGCTTGCATGCCGGAGGAAGCTTGGCGGAAGTGCGGCAGGGGTGGGGGCAGTGGATCGGAGGGTCACATGTCATATACTACGAAAGAGAATAATTAGTACATAAATGAACATGTGTATACACATATAGTTATTTATTTCTTGATTGATTTATTTCCATAAGTTGACCATGTGTGCATACATTTATAGTATGTACTCATTATCACTGCATGTCTGAGTGGACTTTGGGTCAAACAGGCCAATCTTTGATTGCGCCCCAGGGGTCGATAAGATAAGCTGGCGAAGTGTGCAGCACGAAGCTCGCGAGCTTCAGATAGCAGGCTTCAGAAGTGAATCTCTTGAGCTCACTTCGAAAGTGAAGCCCGCAAGCTTCAGACTTCGGCCTTCAAGCGACGCTCGTGAGCTTCAGAGATTCAGAAGCTTCACCCGTTTTGCGAACCAACATGGCGTACCCTCCAATCTCTGAAAGCACAGGCGGTGCAGCTTGTGGGCGAAAGTCGTTTATGGCATTTTGTCAGCCAGCTAGACTCGACTAGGATCGAGTAAGGATTGAGGCGCCGACGCCAATTGTTCTCTTGTCCAATTAAGCATAGAACAGGATCCAGGATCCCCATCCCGCCTCGAAATCTATTGAAACTTTGTCTGCATGTGTTGCTTTTTGGTGTGGAAGTTCAAGTCAAGGCTATGTTGTTTCCGGCCGCCTCATCTTCTGGAGGTGTGCCGTGAATGCCCCGACGTGCCGAGGCTGCACTGGCCCGCGGATTAAATTTTCATAATTGTAACGCTACGCGACCCGCCTCGGCCCGGCCCAGCGCATCCTCGTGAGCATGGTGATTCCGCAGCGCCCAAGTCGCTGGACCCCAAGCAATAAGGGTTGGGTTTAGGGTTTAGGGTTTAGGGTTCCGGGTTTATGATTTATGGTTTGGGGTTTAGGGTTGAGGGTTAGTTTAGGATTGAGGGCTTAGGGCTCAAGGTTCACGCTTTGGGCTTTAGGGTTTTTTGGGGTTTAGGGTTCGGCTTGGAGTGATCGTGGGGTTGAGCCAGGCCCCTCAGAAAAAAGGTTTTGAATTTTGAGCAGTTGGGGGGGGGGGAGGGGGGGGGGGTAGGCGGGGGCAGGGTTGGGGAGGGAAGGGGGGGAAAGGGTGGGGGCCTTCAACTGCCTCTGGTCCTGGCGAACCGTCCGCTTGCGGACCCCGGTTTCCCAGGGGGGTACCCATTTGAGGCAAAACAAGAGGATTTGGAGGGGGGTGCCTGTTCTGAAAACTTATACACCTCCGGTCCGAGGCCTCGGCGGATTCGTCCTTAAGGCACCCCCCCCCCCCACAGGGTTGACCATTTAGAACCGAAAACCTACCTTTTTCGCAGGCTGTCTAAGACATCTACAAGGGGTTTCGAGTAAAAGCCTAGAAGACAGTCTAGGTTCTAGGTTCTTCAGGTCAGGGTTCAGACAGGTCCGTCTGGGGCGTCCGGCTTTGCCTGTTGCAAGCATTGCCAGTCGACTCTGGCGACTTGGGTGATTCGGGGGGAGTAGTTCATGCAGCTTTCGGACCAGCTAGAAGCCCTAAGCATTCAATACCCTCTATAAATCCTAGAATCAGTGGCGTCTGCATCCTTGTGTTGAGCCCGCAAGAAGTCAGGTTTCGGGTTCGTCAACTTCATACAGACAACCCCAAGCAGGGGCACATTCCCGCCTACTGCACAAGCAACACAACCTGAATCAGCTTAACAATCCTAAACTCACGCCGCTCGACATGCTGAAGCAACTGAGCCGCACCCCGCATCCTTTCAAGCACCATAGCGCACGCATAAATCTGTGTCATGAATTCGGGCTTCAAATAAGGCAGTTGTCATCAGATTATCTTCCCCTGTGCAAGGTGATTCTGAGCCGAGTCAAGATGCAGAGGCAAAGCCTCAGAGTACGGAAGCGCCCGAAATGCCCGAGGCATCCCAGCCTTCCACGGCCACCCAGTACCGGGTGCATTGAACGGCCCGAAGCTGCCGAAGCTGCCGAAGCTGCGAGCCCGATGAACCTGAGAAGCGCCGGCATCGGTGGAGCCCGAAGAGCCCGAAGAGCCCAAAGAGCCTGAAGAGCGTGAAGAGCTTCGACGCCGAACACAGGTTCTGGCAGAAGAGGTCAATCGAATCCTTGTCTTGCAGCAGGGCACAGACTACTGGATGCGTATCTTGAAGTTGGAGGTGGGCTTTCGAGAGCGGGACCTTGAGCGAAGCAAGCGTGCACGGTTGCTGATCCTCCACCCCGAGAAGATCAGTTCAATAGCAGAGAGGCGGCCGGTGGTTCGGCAAGGTGCCGAACTGCCTTGGACTTGGTGCAACCGGCATACGACGTGGCAAAGCGCGGCCTTGCCTTCCAGGAGCAGAGAGCATCAGGAAATTACACTCAGTACACTGGTTTCACTCTTGGCTCCAGGCCAATGCCACCACCACAGGCCAAGCTTCCAGCCGGGCCCGGGCTCAATCCACGAGCCCGAGGGCATCGCATATATCGCAACAGCGCAAGCCGATGTACAGACACGGGGCGCCCTTGGCGCTCTGCGCGACTCCTGGATGTACGTATGCAGTCACCTGTGTTGCTTTTGGTGGTTCTGCTGCAAGCTTCGTGCAGCGCACGTCACCGTCACCAGCGCATGAGCAAAGCTGTGAGCCGTGTCCTGACCTGTGCGGGCCTCGAGTATTGATCCCGCTTAGTTGCAGCAAGTTCTGGACATACAAGTAGCAAGAGCTCCGCAAAAGGCCTCTCTGCTTGAGACGCTTGAAACCCTTGGTGAACTCCGACGACGTCCACCTTCTTGGTGCTGCGCGTTGTCATGCTTTCGTCCGGCATGGCTTTCAACGGGGACTCAGACGGGCAACTGAACAGCTTTGCAGCTTCGGGTGCTTCTCCTGGGAGCAGCATAGGGCCTCAGGGCATGTACGCGGTGTTGGTGGGACCTGCATGCTGTGTTCATGATGGTTCTTCCAGTCCGCGGCAGATCGAAGACCTCTGATTGATCAGTGATTGCACAGAGCCGCCGTCTTGTTTCAGAGCCCTGCCGGGTGCACCTGTCTCCTGGCAGTTTACATGTACTGCGATAGCAGGTGCTAGCCGCTAGCCATACTTGCTTCTACTAGCAACACGGCTAGCCCGGTGGAGGTGCGCCAGCGAAAATACGATAGTTGTAGAGGTTGGGGGGGGGGGGGGGGGGGCGTTCTGGGACATGTTGCAGAAGCTTCGCATGCTTCCCCATTTCCTCAGGAGAAGGAAGGTGAGGAAGGGCAGGAAGAAGAGCCCAAAGACGAAGCGGCTCAGGAGGGAGATGGCGAGGTGTGGGCTGAGCGCGAGCGTCTGAAATCTGAGTCTCTTCAGGGTTGTGCGCACTGCCTTGAGGCTGAGGCCGATGAGGGAGATGCTGCCAAAGAAGAAGGCGATGGTGACGGTCAAGAAGAAGGCGAAGGTGATGGCGAAGGCGAAGATGCCAAAGAAGAAGGCGAAGGCGAAGCTGAGACGGAAGCAAAGGCCGAGGAGAAGGCAGAGGATGGTGAGGACCCGAAGGCCATGACATGCCGGAGTTCACACCTCAAGAGTGGATCCAGCCATCCAGCCATGAACACTTCTCCTGGGTACCGTTGTTTGTAGTGAAATTGATTCTCAGCTGTATGAAGGCAGATGGGGAGGACGGGGAAGAGGATGGCGACAAGGACGGAGATGAAGGCCACATGGACCGGAATGCCTTCAGAGTCTCCTCACACTTTCTTTGGTGTGTTTGTTGTTTGTCAGTACTGCTTGAGACGTGGGCTCTTGAGCCTGTATGCTCAGTTAAGATGTTGTCATCTCTGACTGCCTCTTTCAGGGGAAGATGGTGGAGAGGACTTTCCTGCTGTCCACGGTTCAGCATTTAAAGGTTCATGCTTTGCGGGATTCTGAGATGTTCATCCTAGGATGGGGTCGCACTGCCACTTCAGCGGGTTCTGAAGGATGACAAGGATGAAGAAGAAGAGTTCAGTGAAGAAGGTCAATGGAAGTATGGCGAGCATGTCTCTCAGGAGTGCAGCATTCAGATCTGGATGTAGTTCTCTACTGCACATATGCATTCCACAAGCAGCCATCGCGTACCAAACCCTCAATCCTGGCTGGTTAGTCATAACCCTGGAAGCCGCTGGGGAACCAGGTCTTTTGGCGCCGCCTGGAAGGAGGGCGACGTCATCGGCGTCCTCTTCTCTGCCAAGGAGCACATCCTGGGTTGCAGCAAAGCCATATATTATCATATATTATGTCGCCTGCAGTTCATGTCTGAAAGTGCAGGCAAACACCAGAGAGGGTTCCTCCCCGTAGTTATGTCGCGAGTCCCCACTCTTCGATTTCCCGAATCATTGCCCCAGAGCTTTGGTGCCACATTCGCAGCTGAATCAAGAGGCAGCCATTCCAAAATGAATGCCCTCAACCCTATAAACCCTGAACCCTTAGCCATTAGCCCTAAACCCTTAACTAAAGAGTACTTGAAGGTTGACGTTGGGTTTGCTGCAGCGTCGCCTTAAACCAGACCTTGTTAAGAGCTCGGTTGAGGGTCCTACATCAGCCTTGCAGAGCGGGAGGCTTGGGAACTCAGTTGATCAGGCTGGGTTTTCAGGTTTGGGATCTGGGTTCAGTAAGTTGAGGGTTGCAGGGCAGGATCTTCGGGCTTACAGGCTGATCTAGAAATCCCTCATAAACCTCTAAATTCCTCAATTACACAAAATCCCTAACTTCTAGAACCACTAATCCCGAGAGATCCTTTCATGAGCTCTATGTGACATGCAGGATGGCACTGCCAATCTCTCCTTCTCCCTGAACGGATCCTTCACGGCGCCGATGGGTCAGGTGCCGCGACTGCGGGTAGTTCGGGTGGGAGAGGTAGAGGCCCTGGAAGCTGAGCCTAAGGCCTAACATGGGAGAGGGGTGGGATAAAACAGGAGCCCAAACAGAACCTAAGCCCTGAACCCCAACATGGGGGGTGGGGTAAAATGGGATCCCAAAGTACCGAGCCCGAGCTCCACCAGGCTTTCTCGATCGACCTGACGGAGGCGGCGCAACTTGTTCGGGGCTGCTTGGGGGGTTCGGGGGTTTTGAAGCTTTAAGGGTTTAGGTGAACAGACTCTACAGGCTTCGGGGCCTCTAGGGTTTCAGGGTCTTGGGTTTGGGGATTGGGGTTTCTGGTGTTCTGCTAGGTTTGTGTCTCCCTGCAGACTCGGAATCCATTCAGTAGAAGTGAATCGACATATCTGAGAGCAGTCGCCAGCTCCAAGACAGACCTTTTAAGCTAGTCCAGTTGCACATGCGTACAAAATGTTGCCGCAATGTACTGTCACAGAGTCGTGAGGTGTCCTATCACTCAGAACTAAACGAGCATGGGCTCAATAGGATTTGCATGTAAAGTGCGTTGCCTTCTGAACTCCTTGTTCGAACACATGCCGGCAGAGGAGATGACGCTAGCCATGGTCCTGGCCTCCGGTGATGAAGGTGCGCTCGGTGAGTGTTTTGCAGTTGGTGAGGGCCCCGTGAAAGGGGGGGTGGGGCGTTCAACGCAGAAGACTCGGAAGGCGTAGCTGTGCTCCCTTTTACTGCAGGGGAACAGTCCGGTCATGCAACACGCACACACACGCACAAACTCAAAGCACCCCCAAAAAAGTGTCCACAAAACTATGCCAAGGAGCGGGTCCTGCAAGGTTCCTCGGTTCTAAGGGCAGGGGCTTGGTTGCCCAAGTCCGTTTCTTAAGCAGATTCACGACATAGTATTCAAACATAGCACCAGTCGGTCCCTAGCTTCAAAAGAGCCGGTCTATGCGTCTCAAACCCCCCTTCAATGCCCCCTTTCAGACGCTTACCCCGGCATGGAGCAGGAGAGATCAACGTGAACCTGGGGCAGCGGCTCTTTCAAACGTGCCCGTCGATGGAAGCTTTGGCAATGACTTGAGGAGTTAGGGTTAGTGAGCTTGTAGGGTTTCTGGTTCGAGGCTCTGCAGTCTGGGGTTTGGGGGTGTCTTCTGGAAGGGCATGGAGATGGGGGAAGAGGGTTTGGGCTTGGGGCTAGTGGCTGATTACGGATCGGGTTTTGCGCGTGCCTATCAACTGTTGTAAGCCCAAGCCCTAAACTCTAGATGCCCTAACCCTCCTACGAAAAAGACCCTACAATCCCTAAACCCTTAACTCTTTCAGCCCCAAACCCTATAAGCCCAAAGCCCATTGATCCATCCAAGGAGGGGGAGCAGGAGCCCCGTGTGCGCGGACTTGGCGAGGTCTCGGGGCTTTTCGGGGGGTTTTGGGAGTGTTTTGGGGGGTTTCGGGATTAGAGCCTGCGCTTCAGGGGCTTTAGACGAGGGTTTCAGGCTTTGGGGGTGAAGGGGTTTAGCGCCCAGAGTTGTGAGGCTGGGCAAGGGGCTCTCTGGGCCAGGAAGCCCCGAGGTGCATGATACACCCAATCAACAGTTGCAAAAAGGTATGGAGCTGTTCTGCCGGGTTTACTGGGGATTTCAGGGGTATATACTGTATGGGAGCAGTAGACAGTCTCTTGGCCCGTGCCTTCTGAACTGGTTTCTCGCCCCAAACCCCGGAATTGAGCTCCTGGATTGACTCTTAGAGGGGGCGAGGCGAGAATTTGTTGTAGGCTTCTGTCGGAAAGAACCTTGTGCCCCTGCAGGCCATGCGCATGCGGCCCGCCTGGAAAGTGCAACTCCCCAAGGGCGTCAAGGTCGCATCCTTGTGGGCTGCGGCTGCGTGAGGTCTTCCGGGCCCACGGACTGTCTCAAGTCCATGCGAACTAGCCTTTGATCTCACGCTGAATCTCACATATGTTCATACGATACTCGGAATGGGCCATTTCCCTTTTGTGAGAGATCAGGCCAGCACATGTTTTCTTAGCAGCCACCGTCCCTTGCCAGGCATGGCCTGTCTTTGAAGAGCCGTCGCGCACCTCCAAGGGCCGAAAGCCTCTCGAGGCCTGTTTGGGGTTTAGGGTCAAGGGTTTAAGGTGAAGGGTTTGGTTGCGAAGCAGACCTTATGATAGCTCCTACGCCGCCCCTGACCCCTAGACCGAGTATAGTGCGCTCAAGCCAGGTAGAAAATTCAATTCCTTCACCCCCCCCCCCCCAAAATATGCCCAAGCCTAGAACACAAACCTCCCCTGCGAGGATAAGGCGGAGGTTGACCAACTCCACAATGCGGAGGACAACTGGGTTCAGATCATGGAAGGCCCTTTCCCCATGGGTGTAGGTTTGCAAGCGGGCTCATCAAGACTTGTTGGGGCAGGCTTAGAGGGCTTGTTTCTCGGCTGCTCATTAAAAGCAGGGCTTAGGGGGCTAGGGGGGTTTGGGGTTCAGGTTAGGGTGTTAGGGGATGGGTTTTGAGGAATGAGTCCTGAACCCTGTTGGGGACTATGGGCTGTGCCCTGCGCTCTCACACCACCGATCCTCGACCCACACCAAAGTCTAAAATGACGTCGGAGAGCCGAAAAATCAGTATTTATCTGGGCCTTTAAACACCCTTAAAGCCCTTAAAACCCTTAAAAACCTAAAAGCCATAAACACCCTGAAAACACTGAAACGCCTAATCAGCCTATACTGCAGAGTTGCGAGGCTGGGTGCAGACGCGGATGATGGTGGCCGGCACGGAGTACGAAGCCCTCAAGCTCCCTGACAGGACATGGACATGCAGGGTTTAGATTGCTGTTATTGGTGGGTGTATACAAGGTTCCTTTTTAATATTGGTATATAAACCCTACTTCACATAGACATGTAACTCTTTAAGGGCTTGCACAGGGAACCTCTTTAGAGTTTCGAGATTTTTTCTGGGCAAGGGGAGGGAGGGGGCTGCAGTGTTTGAATATCAAAGTTACACATACCCATATACGTATGCGGGCACCCTTGGGTGGGCGGGCAGGGGGGGTAGGCTTTGAGGCGATTAGGGTGGTTCGGTGGCCCGACCCTCACCTAGAATCCTCAGTCAGTTTTCCTCCGCCTTCGATTAAACCGGAAACACACACAAGTCTCCGAATCTCTAACAACCTTTGTGAACAATGGGCCTTAAGTTTCTCAAAGCAAGTGAAACCACCCTCCACCCCTTAAGCCCGAAGGTAGCCTCAAACGCACCGCTTCCAAGGCTGCGACCCCTCTGGAGTCCGGTGGACCCTCCACGCAAGAAGAAAGAAGCCAGCCACTGTGCTGCAACTGCAGCAGTATACGTGTGTAGAGAAACATATGAGGCATGTGTCATAAACGAGAAAGAAAAACTCAATATGTTGTGTGTGTATAGTATAGGCATATGTAAGTAAATAGACAAGTGAATATACAAATATAAATATTAAAAATCTAGACATACATATAAATTCCAATATACATATAAATATGAATAATGTAAATAGAAAATATATGTATATATATATATATATGTGTACAAGATTTGGGAAGTAATGAGAGGATGGAATCCAGACCAGTATAAGGTCCAACAGGCACGAGTTCCTGGCCTCCATGGGGGCTGAAATTCAGAAAATGGCAGCTCACAGCTTCAGAGGCTCTTCTAGGCCCGCAGTCATCTGCTTTTCTAGAGACCTTTCAACCCTGAACCCCGCAGTGTCCCAAGTACCCTTAATCGACGACTCGCCATCAGCAAGAGATCCTAAGTCCTGAGCCTTGAACTCTGCCATCGTGTTTGCAAACCCAGGGAAGAAGCGCCAGCAAACCATCTTCGCCACGTTTGACACAGAGCTGTGGCCACAGCAACACATCCTTTCTCATGCAACATGTGACAGCCGCAAAGTGCGCTGCAGAGCTGCTGGACAGACAGTATCCACGTTTTTCACTGGAGGACTGTGGTCTCTGACAGCTCTGACAATCAGTCCGCATTCGCTTCTGGTCCCGAGGCTCAAGGTTTTAAACTGTCGGGAAGGGCCACCTTCAACAACAGCGCTGGCCGAACTATCGGATAATGCTTAGCTTTAGTCCTTGTAATGTCATGGGAGCAGAGCGCTTTCGGGAGTCAACAACCTTTTGCTCCTAATTTCTCCGAATGCCACAACACTAGCTAAATCTCCGAGCCGAGACGCAAGATTAAGAAGCGGAACATGTCCCGAAGCTTATCACGCCAAACCCTGTTGGTAAGTGCTATGGCCCTGCGGGGCACGGCGAGGGCGGCTGCCGCCGATGCCACGCCACCGCTGCGCGTGGCATGGATTGCCGATCCAAAGAAGCGCCTTGGAGAAGTCAACCTTAGCTAAGCACTTTCGGACCTTGTAGGATCAAGTTCAGTACTATTGCTAGTTTGATTATTATTATATTGTTACCAGTTTTTTGACTCTTATTATTATTATCATTATTAGGGGGACTGGCGGGTGCCAGGCCCGTCCTCCTTTCGACTCGCAGTGCAAAAAAAGGCCAAGCCACAAGCACAAAGCCATGATTCAATGATAGAACTCCGAAGCATCTCGGCCCAGCAGCGAAACCAGCCGGCGCAATGAAGCAGGACGGCGCCCAAGCGGGTCGCGTCGCCATCATCGGTGCTGGATGGTCGGGTCTGCAGTGTGCGCAGGGCCTCAAGGAGAAGGGTGTCCATGTTGACATCTTCGAGAAGAACAGTGAGATCGGAGGCACCTGGAGTCCGGAGTTGTCCTACAGCCACCTCACCCTCCACAGCACGCGCTGGGTCAACCAGATGACTGTGGACAAGGGCAAGTTCCTTCCTTTTCCGGGCGGAAAGGCAAGTGACATGGAAGGCAAGGCCCCTGCTGCCGAGATGTTTCAATACCTCAAGGACTTCGTCGACAAAACTGGTTTGCAATCCAGCGTGCATTGCGGCACCTTCGTGAAGGAGGTGCATTATGATTCCGATTCGCAAGTGGCCCACCTAGCTGTGGAGAAAGATTCGGTGTCAAGGAGAGAAGGCCCTTACAATTATGTCATTTTCGCTTCCATGAGTGGCTGGCCGAGCATGCCGGACATTCCCGATCGGGGCTTCAAGGGAAAGCTGCTTCACAGCAGCCAGCTCAAGGAGAAGATGGTGTCTGAGATCATCGACTCCAAAGCCTCCGTCCTCGTCCTCGGCGCGGGGAAGTCGGCGTGTGACATGATCCAAGCTTTCCAAATCGCAGGGTACGAGAATGTCACGTGGCTCTGCCGCGAGACCTACTGGTTCTGGCGGCATGCCGCAATGTTCCACGACAGGTCCATCCTGGGCATGCTGAGGGCCGTCGGCTGCCTCTTGTTCTTCTTGTGCGGACTTGTCTCGCCGAGCTTCTGCATCTTTGGGCTGTGGCTGATCGGGTACATCATCTTGCCTGGATCTGCCGGGTGGCCGAAGCACTTCAATGCCGCGAAGTTTCACTTCGGCGTTTTGTGCGACCGTCAGCTTTCCCTCATCAAGAAGGTAAAGCAAGTCATCGGCGATCCAGACCATTTCTGCAAGAACGGAGTGGTCTTAAAGAGTGGTGAAATGATCGATTGTGACGTGATCATCTGTGCCACGGGGTATGATACCGGCTTTGCCGCCCTCCGGTGCTACAAGGATGGGAATGCCATCAGCATAAAGGACTGCCCCCTCTACGAGCATGCGATCGTGCCACACTTCCCATGCCTGATCAGCGCGACCACGGCATTTTACCACTTCGGCCCAATCCGGGGGGTCACCTTGGCGGAGTATGTGGCGTATTGCCTGCAGAGGGGATCGGTCAGCGAAGAGACAATGCAAGAAGCGGCCAGTGGCAATCTCTGCAAGCAAACGTCCACGACCTGCATCATTTATACCAGTAAAACAATCTTGGTCCGGCAATGGATCCTCCTTTTCATCGACTTGTGGCGAGCGGGTCTGATATCATTGGCCGCCTTCCTTGAGATTGGCATCGCCCTTTGGGTCATGGGGGTGTATAAACCGCTCCGGCTAAAAGTCGGTAGCTGATGTCTCCTCATTTTCAATGAGCTCTATTTAGCCGGTGGCGTATCAACTGTAAGCACATCAGAGAGTCCTAGTTGAACAAGGTGCGTAACAAGACCTAGTTGCCATTTCCCACGGCTTGCGGCTTGCATATTCTTAGATGCACCGACACCTACGTGTAGCAAGTGCTGCATGTCTTCCTATGCCGCCGGCAGATGTACAAAGTCAATCGTATAGCCTTGCAAACTGCCTCGCCAGATCTACTTGGGCTCTGGCCGAGCGTTTCTGTTTCGCCCCGGGCGGAAAGACCATACCATCGTTTGTTGTCGGCAAAATCGGATGTGGGCGAGCCTCGCAGACTAAGCCGAGGCGTGTCAGTACTACATGTTCCCTGTTGTTAGGAATCGCCCTGAAGCCTATATGGTCACTTCTTTTTGGGGTTACCACTCGAAGGCGGCCCCGAATGTGTAGTGTGTAGGGTACCCAAACAAGGGGCCATCATCTTGAGAACTGACCCTCTGAGCATCCGAGATTCGGGTCGAAGCCCGGCTACCCAAAGCCAAGCCTCCGCGACCGTTTGCAGCGCGAGGCGGCTTCCTGGGCTGTTTTCTGGTGTTTTCCGTTCAAGGGTCTGAATCGTGCTCTTAAAGTCTCTATAGAGATGTGTTTAGAGGCGGTTATAGTTAGATGGGGGTTGCTTTTGTGTTTAAGGGTCTGCATAGGATTAGTTAATGTTTGCCTTGGCAGTTGTGAGTTTAGGGTTCTCCCCGTCTTTGCCCGGGATGCAGGGCGGCTGGTCCTTCGTGCGCCTCACACCCGAGGAAGTGCGCAAGGCCAGGTGGCGACGGGATTTTGGGGGTATTTGGACCAGGAATTCAGGTTTTCTGTGATTGAATGCTGGGGCAGCGCGCACAGAGCTTTCCATAAATCTGACCAGGGCGGCCTACAGACAAGCTCCTACGACATCTTTATTGTTCCTGGCGGCTACGCGCCCAACTTCGCGGAATCTCGGCTCAGTGCCGCAAAGAGGGGTGCCCTGAGTCCCCAACCTTCAAAACTATACACTGGGCTGAGCCTGAAGACTGGGAGCCTACCTGTAGCTACTCCTATAGTCAAGAGGAGCCCATAGGGTCTCCCCACCTGGCAAGCCTCAGCCTGTTGTTCAGCCCAACGCTGCCTGAAACGATGCTGATCGGACGATTGCCTAGCGCGCACTGTCCTATCGCTTTGTTCTGACGGGCCTGTCCCATCTCTCAAAGGAACCTTTCGAATCCTGCTCCTTCAAAGTTTCCGCATCACCTAGGCAGAGCTCGGCGAGCTCGGTGGCGAGCGCATCCGTGAATTCGTCAAGGCCTGATGGGCAATCCTCTGGGAGACTTAGAGCCATTCTGATTAGAAGCATCAGGCATATATAAGGTCTGCACACAATTTTTCTGATTAGAAGCATCAGGCATATATAAGGTCTGCACACAATTTTGGCGTCAACAACAGGTCGCATGCTCAAGTTTTGACATCAATTACGAACTCCCGCTGTAATGGTATGAAACTAATCAGGCTGGTGGTGGCTACGTCGGTATTTGTGCCGGTGCCTACCTTGGCACCTCCTGGGGTTACGACTTGCTGCCCGTGAATGTCTTGGACAGGGCCGAAGCAGTTGTTGCAGTAGCCAAAAGCTCCTTGACTAGAGCTCTTGTCACTATATAGTGTAAACAACCGCAGACATGTGCCAGAGACTCGCAATTCCCTGCAGGACATCGACCATTGGGACCGCGGAAAGACTGATGCCTGTGAGCTCAGCGCAACAGACGCCGGGAGGCGCGTGGCCGGTGCTTCCTTGCCCGCGACGTTCAAAGTGCGCTATGCCAATGGTCCACTCCTGGAAATTCTCGACTCCTGCGTTGAGTCCTTTGTCGACTTCCAGTCGCAACTCAGAGGTAAACGCGGTACCTATCCCCCATTGATGAAGGGCTCGCCCGCTCTTCTGGGAGGGCCTCTCGGCAAAGGCCGGGTACTGCTCGTTTCACCGCACATCGAGGGCAGCCCAGAGTTGGGCGACTGCTTCCGCAGCTTCGTTCGCTGGACGGCCTTGGGCGCCACAGCGAGGGCCGAGCCGAAAGCGCCTCCACCGGCGCCGCCGAAGGTTACAGAAACCCCAGAAGTGACGGAAGCACCCACGAAGCCCACGGAGCCGAGAGCTACGGAAGCTCCCACGCAGGCTCCCGCCAAGGCTACCGAGGCAGACATCATCGAAATCTTCCGGAAGTTTGACCTGAATAACGATGGCCTGCTGGATGCTTTGGAGCTGGAGACACTTCTGCGCAGCCTGGATGCTGAGCAGGCGGACCTCGCCAGCATGGGGGAGCTCGTAGCGAAGATGAAGTTGCAAGAAAGCAAAGGCATCCCCTATGAGGAACTAGTTGCCTGGGTGTTCGGGGCTCCCTGCTCCTTCGACCGGCCGGATGTCGAGACAGACGGAGAGGAGGATGCGATCATGGATAAGATGTCGATGGTGCGGATGCAGTGCTTGGCTCAGTTCCGCTCTAGAGACGCTGAAACACCCGGAGGATCGGGAGCCGCGGAGCCTGGCCCCCCCCAGCTCGCCCGAACTTGCAGCGACGGTTGCACCGGCAAGCAGCAAGTCGTGTCCGATGAGCGTGTGGAGGCCTCTGTGGTCACCATCCAGCGTGCGGCCCGTGCGCGGGCGACGAGCAAGGGTGCCGAAGACATCGCAGCCGCCGCAACCTTGGCGGCGAAGCAAGAGAAGGAGGCCACCGAGGCCGCAGAGGCCGCAGAGGCTGCAGCCAAGCCCAAAGCGGCTCCAAAAGCAACTCCCAAAGCAGCTTCCAAAGCTGCAGCTTCCAAAGCTGCAGCTGCTCCACCGGCAGGGCCCATTCTCAAGCGGGGTGGCCTGGACTACATTTGCTGTCTCGGAGGCCCCGTGCTGATCACCGCCCCACACTCCATCAAGATTGTGCGCGGGGGCGGCGAGACCCAGGAGCGGACGCGCAACCACAAGCGCGAGCGCTGGACCGCCGAGATGTCGGTGATCGTGGCCCCCTGGAGCCCTTCAAAGGCAGAACTCTTTTCCTTTTTCAAGACGGTACATGTATCACGCTTGCGTGCATGAATAACTTCGCCCGCCCTTGTTCGAAACAGTCTGGCGAACGAATAAATAAAGACACGACCGAATTGAATAAACATGTTCGTCAGCTTTTTGGACGTTGTTTAGGTCATGTCCTGTACAAAAAACAACCAGGCTTAGGGTCATGGATCTATACTCTTGATCCAAAACGCTAGGACCCTATTGTAGTACTCGTACTGCAGAGTTCCCACGATTTCGTCAACCCAAAAAGTTAAGCAGCTTTAGCAGTTGCCTTTGGGAAGCGGATCAGATAGGATAGCTCAGGCTCGAGAGCTGTGCCGGGCTGGCCTACCTGCCTCCGTGATGGTTTGGAATCGCGCGGCGGGCCCGGGCCACGGGCCACTGGGCAAGTAGAGTCGGAGGGGGGGAAGGGGGTCTTAATCTACAGCGACATCTTATGTATGAGTGTACCGTCATCCAAAGTTCACGCGAGGCCTCAAAGCCACCCGTGACTGCACCGAGGCGACTGGACCCAAACTATTTGTTGGCCTCGCAGTTCCGGATGTCTCCTTGGCATCGAGCACTCCACCGCTGGGCCACGACTGTGGGTGGTGGGGGTCCGGGCTCAGGGGCAGGCATTCCGGATGCCCTTTTAGAGTCTTTTCGAACTCCTTGCTTCTAAGGTCTTAATTCTGTCTTATGCGGTTTTTGCTGGGCACAAGAGCAACATAAATATCAACATGAACCACCGTCAAATGAACACGGCAGACCTCCGCAAAGCTTCGAAAGCAAGAGCCGCAAAAGGCATCCCCCTCCTTCACGTGGACTTGCACGGCAAAGTCTCAGAAAAGCTGCATTTGGACTTGGGTGCCGCGCCCCTGGAAGAGGTGGGTTTGCCTCGAAAGTCTTCATGGTGCAGGGCTTTGGGATGTTTGAGGGACAACGTGCAAGTTGTGCACTTTGGGAAACCCAATCTCAGTTTTGAGTCCAGGTCTGGCCAGCCTCGGATCAAAGCTTCGTGAGGGCCCTGAAGTACAACTTCTGTGCAAAGCTGGACAAAGTTCTGGCTGATTGCCGCGTGCTGTCCATGAAGGGGAAGCAGATCAAAGTAGATGCAGACCCCTGCTGCTGGGCGGTTAGTGTGAAGATGTGCTGGTGCTCGGTTTTGAAGCATAGCAAGTTCACGATCATGATAAGGCTTGCACGGCTTCTGGGGCGAAGACACCGTGACCACCATCTCCCACCAGTCGGTCCTCCTTGGAATCCCTGCGGTCCAGCTCCTCACTCATCGAATATGAGTTACAAGTATTTTATTCATACTCATCAAAATAATGATAGTATGATTTTTCATAGTATTAATTGAGATTAGTAATATAATATAAACTAAGAAAGGAACTAGTCAAGCCGCAGCCCGAGGCCTTTTTTTGCCAGGCCATAGCATCTGTTGTCTGCAAGGCCTCGCAAACTTAAGAAGGAAGCAGCTGCTCGTGCAAGATCCGCGCTTCGGCGCACAGGGCTCCCCAAGCCCCGAAAACCCAAACCCTACATCCCTAAACTTCCCTAAACCCGAAAATCCTGAACCCCATTTCCCCTAACCCCTATAAACCCTAAACCCTAAACCCTAAACCCTAAACCCTAAACCCATCGTGTGTTGGTAGGGTTGCGGTTTGTCCACTGGATCCTGAGCCCCGAAGGTTCGAGATGCCGCCGCGGCTCCGTGAGCAGCTGGTCATGGACCGGGCACGAAGTGTTAACTTCGGCCTTGGGGTGTAGGGTTTAGGGTTTAGGGTTTAGGGTTACACGCGCGCGCGCGCACCCACCCACCCACCCTCCCACCCACCCACACACACACACAAACAACACACACACACACACACACAACACACACACACACACACACACACACCCAAAGCCCAGTACCCGAATAAGCCCCTGAAGCCGAGAAAATAATCAGAAAATCCCACAAAACCTCAAACCCGAAACCCCGCATAAACCCCATAAGCCTCGTAAAACTCATAAAGTCTCATCGAAACCGAAAAAGAGCCCTAGCGAGGACCCAGAGCTGGGCCGCCGCTTTGCCAGCGCCATCGCCGAGGTCTACCGGGACGTGGCGGCTCGGAGAATTGCTGAGCACGGATCTTTAGGGTTTACGCGCACACACACACACAGGGTCCTCTGAGTTATAGTGCGTGTACGACAACCCTACATAACAGCTGCATGAAACTCCATCACATGAAGGACACATATAAGGCTACCACCTCAGAGCAAGCTTTCGATCCCCAAAGGCCCCTCGAATTCGAGGTCACACCTTGGTGGGCGGCGCGCAGCGCCTCCCTTTCACCATGGCCCAGGCTCTACCCCATCGACCCCGCCTTGGCTGAGGACGTCGCTGCTCGGCCCCAATTGTGTGAGAGGTGGCGTAGATGCCCCCCCTTCTGGCGCAGTCGATGGCCATTTGCCGTCTGGCGAAGATTGCCCGTCCCTTCGACAAGCCCCTCTTTCACGAAACTTAGCGTTTTGAAGGAGCACTTTTTAGCAAGGGAGGGCTTTTGCTCCCCCACGAATAGTCCGAAAGCCTGAGCTTGAAACGACCAAGCATACAACAATCCGAATCGGCGACCGCCAGCCTGAAGACTACACACAAAGACGACCTGCAAACAAGCAGGTTCGTCCATGAATCTTGGGTTTATGTTCAGGGCTCAGAGCAGTTCTGGTTTGGGGGCGGGGTTGCTATGGTTTGCGGGGGGAGGCCTTGGGGGCAGGGGCCGTCCATCTCATTTTGCTTTCCGATTGCAAACGTCGTCGATTCCGGGGGCGTCCTTTAATGATGACAGCTTCGGAATGCTAAGTTGCCATGGACGATCCGGCGGCACCCTCCGAAATTGTTTGCCACATGCTTCGGAAGGGAGATGAAAGTTTTGATTTCAGAGTGCAGGAGCAGGTTTTGTTCGATCCGGCCTTTGGGCTTAGTAAGCCCTATAGGCCTTGGATTAGATGCATGTGGCCTTCCGGCTCACGGGGCTTCCCACAGACACCCACAACCGTAGCTTCTCCCAAGGCCCAAAACCCTATCATGGTCCTGAGGAGACCGTACAAGGCTTCAAGACCCTCTGAACCCTGCACCATTCCCCTAAACCCTGAACTTCCTAAACCCTAAACCACCCTAAACCCCTAAACCCTAAACCACCCTAAACCCTATACCCCTAAACCCTAAACCACCCCAAACCCCTAAACCCTATACCCCTAAACCCTAAACCACCCTAAACCCCTAAACCCTAAGCCCCTATACCCTAAGCCCCTAAACCCCTAAACCTACTGAGGAGGAGACCCAACCCCGTGGCGGCATGGAGGCCTTTGAGCCCTGGGCCAACCAAATGGTTGACGAGTTCCTCCAGGCCCCGGTGCCCTTGAGCCTTTTGGGGTTCAGGGTTCAGTGTTCAGGGTTCAGTGTTCAGGGTTTAGGGTTTAGGGTTTAGGGTGTGGGGTTCAGGGCTTAAGGGCTGAGGAGGCGAGTGGAAATCCTTGGCAGGGACATAGCGAATTAAGTAGTTATCAGGAATTTGGGAGGGATTGTGTGGTTTGCACAAACCTCGCACGTCAGGAATCCTTCTTTGTCAGCCTTCATGCTAACGGGCTACCGCACGCAACCTTGAAACAAAGCCGCTCCGCTCTGTAGTGCAAAAAAGGCCTCGCCTCTGCCCCCTTGGTGTTTGGGCGTATCCCCGCAGATCGAAAAGATGTCCACTGCGGAGCCGCAAATCTGAGCAGCAATGCAGTTACTAGTACCCTCAAAGTCAGGGCTCTAAGTCAGGCTTCTTCGTTGGATGCGTTTTTGTTCGAAAGACGTGCTTTTTGTACAGTTGACATTCGTTTCATGCTGGGTCTTTCTGAAGTGATTGCAGTTGGCAGACTGGCAGACAAGATATAGTGTTGGCGGGGGAGTATGTGACATTACCTGACATCGAGCATTCGCACCAATGACATCGGCTTAGCGAGACAAAGTGCTGCAGCCAAAGTGCTGCAGCTGGCTCAGAGTCCCGTTGCAAGGGCACCCCCGTGTGACTCAGCAAAGTGGTGCTAGCTGTGATTCTGTGGAGATCTGGTCAGACTCGGACATTACATGCGATGCTGATGCTGGAAGCATACCCAGTGTAGCCAGCTGTGCCTAGCAACAACGTCTCAGTTTACATGTAGCATTCTGCCAAGGTTTTGCGAGACTCGCAACTGGCAATTCACAGGCCGATTGACTGAGTTACTCGTAGCGACTACGTCGGGCGTTCGAATGCGCTCGACATGTTTGTCATACTTGAAGACAGTAGCTCAGATGCAAGTCAAGCCTGCTCACTGCCGCCAGGCACGGACCAAGCCGTTGCACAAGGGGGGTTGGATGCCCAGCGCAAGTGGCACTTGATCTGTGTAAATTCTTTTTTTTGCAGGATCAGCATGTCAGTGCATGTTTGTGCCTACGGCTAGACTTGACTTGCCCTGAGCCTTTGTAGGGTTTGGCAGCCAGGCCAGACTTGCTGGTAAGCGCAGAATCTGCCAGCCACAAGCTCAGCCCGTAGACGAAGCTTGACTATCGAAACCTGTTCCAGCGGATGCGCCGATGAGATGGTACTCGTATACCTGTGCAAAGATCGGACATACATGATCAGGGGGGCTTTAGGTTTAGGGCCAGTTTAGGGTTGAGGTATGAGAAGGGCGTTTGAAGCGCAGTGGAGGAACGCAGGCATGAATTTCTCACTCTTCAAGTCTTCAAGCATGTACAATGTACGCGACAGGCATGAAGGCAGAGGATGCGCAGACACACACACACACACACAGCATCACGTGAACTCTCACTTCCTGAACTATTCTTCGCTGTTTGTTCGTTCCTTCCTCTTCCGTTGTCTGTGCAGAACATGCGCCAGGTGCCGGACTCCTGCGATGGCTTTTGAAGATCGACGAGGCCCTGCTAAGGGCAGCGATGTCTGCCAGGAGAGTACCTCGACTCAATCAGGCCATTAGCCCCCTCTGATTCAGGGCAACGACGCCGTCGAGGTGGGTGTGGTGCCGGTCAGTGAGGTGGAGGCCCACGATGGCTCATGACTCCTCTTCAAAAGGCACATGCTGTCGACCAGCAGTCTGAATCCGTCCACAATCTCGGAGACTGCTTGGCTTTGCCCTCCTGCTGCGCGAGTGCATCTCCAGGAGCCCGGATACCTGTTCAACACCGGTCAGTGCGGCATCCAAGCAAAAAAAGGAAAAGCTTTGGGACATACGGTCTAGTTCAAGTTGAAGCTTTGCTTTCTTCTGGCTGGCTCTTGGGACTTTAACCTTTTGGGTTTTTGTAGAAACTAGAATAAGGAGTCTAAAAGTTAAAGTTCTGGGAGGGGTTGAGAAGTCAGCCAAGGAGGAGGCCGAGCCCCCAAGCCACGTGCAACCAGGAACCAAATCAGTGTTCCCCCCTGATATTGCTTCAACTTCTGCCTCGGAGGCTCAGCAATCACAATCAAATGGATCTGGAACGTTCTTCTCTTCGGGATGTTAACCTCAGAGGATCCCAATCCCAAACATGAACCCTATCTCTAAAACTGCACCCTCAATGCAATATCTTGGACCCTAACCGACATGCCCAGAACGCTGTCACCTTCAGGTGTGGCCTGAAATCTGAGAACGTTAGCGGGGGAGAAAGTGGAGGCGAGCAAAAGCCGCTACCTCAGCGGAGGTGGCTGTCTCTGGAAGCCTTCCGACTAGTTGGTGCTATATTTGGGTTCAGGTTCATGTCAAAGTAGATCCCTAAACGAACGCAGCAAAGCAATGAATGCCTCAGCAATTGAAAAGCAACTTCATGCTAACCTGGCCAGAGCAATTCTATCAAAGAAGCCTCAGCGAGCAATGGCTTCTGCCTTTCTCAGATTCAGATTGGTCATAGACGAGTTGGAATGAAGGTGGCAAGAGTGTACAGTAAAGCCTCAAACCCCACAGTCCCAAAGCCTTCATTCTGTTTCAGCCCTCACCCTGGGGGGCGGGGGAGGGGGGGTCGCGGTGGCTGTGGTGGTTGTCACACTCATTCGTGGCACAAATAAATGACGACTAAACTATACGTGTATACGCGCGTAAACTATTTTCACATGTACATCTACAATAATTAATGTTGGACCCGGTTTAATTGGAGGGGTCACTACTGTCTCGGACAAGATAATTTGCTGACTTGTGATTGCGTGGCTGCCTGGCAAGAGTTGTTGCTGGAATGGCTTTTGGGAAGAGTGTCGGAGATGTACTTTTTGCAGCTTCAAGCCTAAGCTCTCCTCTTGCTCGAGTGTGGCCAAGCGCCAGAGAGCAGAAATGCCGCGTTTTTCAAGTTTCAAACTCGTTTCCATAGTTTCAAATTAGTTTCAAAATAGTTTCAAAATCCAGTTGCAAAATCGCTGTTAAGGGGAAGCTGCATTTTTCTACGGGCAATTCAAAAAAATGATCTCAGAGGTTCTTGATTTTCAAAACGCGCGGACAGAAATTGCAGTTCCCCCTTAACAGCGATTTTGCAACTGGATTTTGCAACTAATTTTAACGCTACGCGACCCGCCTCGGCCCGGCCCAGCGCATCCGCGTGAGCATGGTGATTCCGCAGCGCCCAAGTCGCTGGACCCCAAGATAAGGGTTGGGTTGAGGGTTGAGGGTTGAGGGTTCCGGGTTTATGGTTTATGGTTTGGGGTTTGGGGTTGAGGGTTAGTTTAGGGCTCAAGGTTCACGCTTTGGGGTTGAGGGTTTTTTTGGGTTCGGCTTGGAGTGATCGTAGGGTTGAGCCAGGCCCCTTAAGGTTTAAGGCGACTCTTCGGCAGGGTGGGGGGGAGGGTGGAGGTGGGGTGGGGTGGGGGGGGTGGGGGGGTGGGGGGGGTGGTGGGGGGGGGGGTGGGGGTGGGTAAGACCCCCTGGGGGGGCGAGGCCAGCGTGGGGGGTGGGGGGGCACCGGGTGGGGGGGGTGGGGGGGTGGTGGGGGTGGGGGGGGGTGGGGGGTGGGGGCGTGGGGGGGGGTGTGTGGGGGGCGGGGGAGTGAGGGGGGTGGGGGGGGGGGGGGGGGTGGGGGGGGTGGGGGGTGGGGGGGGGGTGGGGGGGGGGGGTGGGGGGGGGTGGGGCGGGTCGTGGGGGGGGGGGGGGGGGTGGGGGGGGTGGGGGGGTGGGCGGTGGGGGGTGGGGGGGGGGTGGGGGGGGTTGGGGGGGGTGGGGGGGTGGGGGGGGGGTGGGGGGGGGGGGGGGGGTGTGGGGGGGGGTGCGGGGGTGTGGGGGGGGGTGCCTGTTCTGACAACCTATACACCTCCGGGTCGAGGCCTCAACGGATTTGAAACTGATTGGAAACTAATTTGAAACTATGGAAACGAATTTGAAACTTGAAAAATACCATATTCCGGACTTTCTACCCCCATCCTGGCCCCTCACACACGGCCCTCACGCGCGGGAAGTTGACTTTGGTCAGCCGTGACAAGAGACCAGAGTTTCCGAAAATTTGCCAGTTTTCAGACTGTTGATGGACGAAATCCTGCATCACTTTTGTTATGCAGGTCATCCCTTCCAAACCCTGAATCTTAAAATTGCTGTCCTTGCAATGCTTCGAAAGTGCATGTGTGTGAATGACCGAAATCCTGCATCACCCATATGCGCACGCAACAGTGAAATTCGAGGGGCGCGGGGAGCTTGATTACCAACTGTCGCACGCGTGTAACGTAGGGGGTCATGCAAGATTTTGTCCATCCGCAGTATTATGCGTTTTTCTCAAAACTTATAGGGACCCCCATTTTTGAGGGTGGTCCTCAATTATGTGATGTTGCCGGGCCGGGGATGAAGGGCGGGGGGCCGGGAGCCAAAAACTAAAAAATGTTTTGAATATGAAGCTCAGGAATTTCTGGTGTCCGGCTTTATTAAAATTCCTTTTATACTTTCATTACGAAACAGGCCCCCAAACAATTTTCCAAGGGAGTAGCCCACGAGCTGCACTGATTCGCTGTTAGTAAATTGTTTCGGTTACCCACATTAATCCACAGCCACTCTGGCCAGGGAGCTACAAAGCCTGGAAAGCTTAGAGCCTTAAGTTTCAAGCCTTCCCCTCAACCCTCGACCCTAGCCGCCCGACCCCCAGCCCCCGTCCCAGCCTATAGAGGATCCCCGAAACCCCCAAAATTGTTTGGGGGGGGGGGGGGGAATACTAAACGGGGTCCAACATTATAGGCATATGACGACTACTTAGACTTAGTTCATCAGTAGGATGGCTGAGATTAACGGGGCCCATGAAGGGACCCGAAATGAGGGAGCCACTCACATGCGTCATTCGAAGGCGAGTTGGGTGTTGTTCCAGAAAACTCCACCCTTGAACGTGGACTAGTGGAGCAACTAATCTTCGACATCACGACTGTGATCAGGGAATGATACTTTGTGCCATCAACAGACTTCAGGCATTCGCAGAGATAAAAAGAGCAGAGAACAAAGCACGATCTCCTTGCCCTCGCGGAGCAAGATGCCTGCCTTGGGCCAAGGCCTACGTGGCCGATCTACCAGAAGTTTGTGGAGATCATCTGCGATGTGGACCGCAAGAAGGTCAGAGGGAGAAGGTTCTGCAAGTCATTCAGGGTTGTGTCTGTTTCGTCAAGCACATGACGATGGATGAGAGGGATCCCTTACCGATTTGAACCTTCTGAGCGAGGCTAAGGCATTTGACTCGACAGTGACGCTGTGGGCAGACTTCCCGCCTCAACAGCTGTCATGCTGCTTTCGGACTTGAGGTTGTCTGGGAGTTTGGTCATGTTTCTCGTGAATCCACAACCGCAACAGGTCTCATTCCACGTCGGGAGCAAGAAGGACAACCTGCAGGAGGCCTCGCAGGTTTTGTCCGCCCAAGCCGAAGTGCGTCGAGTCCCCCAAAGCCTAAATAAACCCTACCCTGAACCCCTAAACTCACTCTAAGCTCCCAACAACCGACAGCCCAAAACTCCTCGAGCTTTCAAGTCTGCAGGTGAAGACCCTCGAGCTGCCCTACGATGAGGAGGTGAAGCTGGCAATCACCGGCTGGAGCGGAACCCGTGGGGAGCCTCATCCCTCGTCGATTGTGGGATTCAGGCTTAAGGGACGGCAAAGGTATTGTTTGGCTATCTGAGCCATTCGGCACGAGGCGCCCCCCAAAAGAAGCAACTCCCGCACTGTGGGAGTTCAGGGCCGTCCCTGTATTCACTCAAAGAGCTGCGCCGGGTTTTGGGGTTGGTCTATAGGGACTCAAGATGACTCAAACCAGGTGTGCGCTTGGAGCCCCCGCAGAAGTGGATGGGAGGCCCGTGTGTTGACATCAGACAAAAGAGAGACGAATCGCAGGGCTGGTCCTCCTTTCTCCTTAAGATTTTCTCCTAAGACACCGGAAGTCACCCTTAAAGCTCCTTAAAGACCCTAGACCCAAATGTCCCTAAAGCCCAAACCCCAAACCCTATTATCTCCAAGGTCCCTAAAGCCCTTAATACCCCCTAAACCCTAAAGGCTCTGACCGTCAGACCTCTGCAGAGACAGGAGAGGAGTCCGACTCCGACTCCGACTCCAATGCCGAGGAGGCCTCTCGCTTTCTCTCGAGCAGCCCGGGGGGGGGGGGGGCCTGGTTCCCTCGATAGGAGGAAGGTGTATAGGGTTTGGGGGTTTAGGGTTCTATGAGGGGGCCCTATAATATTATCGTAACAATAATTAAAATCTTAGTCTAGTAACAATTTGTATAATACTACCCTCTGAAAACGCACACGCACACGCGCACACACACACACACACACACACACACACACACCCACACCCACACCCACACCACACCCACACACACACACACACACACACCCACACCCACACCCACACCCACACCCACACCCACACCCACACCCACACGCACACGCACACGCACACGCACACGCGCACGCGCACGCGCACGCGCACGCGCACGCGCACGCGCACGCACACGCACACGCACACGCACACGCGCACCCCCACACGCGCACCCCCACCCGCACACCCCCACCCGCACACCCCCACCCGCACACACCCCCACACACCACACACACACACACACACACACACACACACACACCACACACACACACACACACACACACACCACACACACACACACACACACACACACACACCCACACACACCACACACACACACACACACACACACACACACACACACACACACACACACACACACACACACACCACACACACACACACACACACACACACACACACACACACACACACACACACACACACACACACACACACACACACACACACACACACACACACACACAAACACACACACACACACACACACACCACACACTACACACCCCACACACACACACACCCACACACACACACACACACACACACACAACACACACACACACACACACACCACACACACACACACACACACACACACACACACACACACACACACACACACACACACACACACACAACACACACACACACACACACACACACACACACACACACACACACACACACACACACACACACACACACACACACACACACACACACACACACACATACACATATATATATATATATATATATATATATATAAGTGTAGAGAGATACGTTTTCAGAGGGTAGAACTGTCTTGTTCCAACAAGTAGCCTTGGACTCCTAGTTCAATTTCCCCAAAACATAGCGGCTGATAGGGCTGACCGGCCAGCACGGGGCCGCAGCAGCAGTTCTCGTTGGCACCAGGACGAGCAGTTCTCCAACACCTGCGGGAATGTGGCCCATGCCCTGGAATTGGGCCTCCCTCATCGTCACGTTGTGCCGTTGTTTCGCCGATTTCCTGGGCGCTCCGAAGATGATGAGGTGCAGCCTTCGACGTGGCATGTCGCCTCAATCTGCGTGGATTTGGAGAAGCGGCAGGAGAGATCATCTTTAGGGGGCTTCATTAGGACTGTGCCACGCAGGAATGGGGCTTGTGCAGAGCCATTGTTTGGAGTCCCCAAATCGGCAGATCTACTCAGCGGCAAAGCACCGAGTGAATGGAGAAGCCTCAGAACCCCAAAGCAACCCGAGCCTGGAAAACGAAGCTCCCACGAACTTTGGCAGCTCCCCTTCGGGCACGCAGGAGATGCAGATCATCCTCGACGGCGAGCACCATTTGGTGGCGGGGAACTTTGGTTGCCCCAGCTGATGTACTGAATAGGGGTTAGGGAAGGGTTCTGCGTTAAGTGTGCGACAGCAGCTGGCAAACCAAGAATGTCAAACCCTCGAGTGTGGTGACCCAGCTCCAAGAAGATCGGATAAACTGTGCCGCCGCTGGCAGAAGGAGCAAACTGTGCGAAGGCAAACTGAAAGTTACCTTTCAAGCTTGCAGCTGCACGAGAATGCCACAACCGGAAGTATAAGAAGGAATGGCGATGGTTCTCTGTCTACGCATTGTGGTTCGCATGGTTGCGAGTGCACGCAGATTCCACATCCACTGAAGGCAAGGGATCCGAGCCTCTTTGCTCCGGAAGGCCTCTTCAGCCGATGGCCCAGTGAAACCTGCCTGCTCGAAAGGAGTACAGGGTGTTTCGGTGTCCCAGCTTGCAGGTTTTTGTGCTGCGTATTAACAGCGTATTGCCTCAAGAAGTCTTGTTTAGAGTTGGTTAGATTCAGCACACTCAATCCCAACAGCTGTCGTGAGCCCCTGATGTGACTGAGGCATCGATCCGACTGAAGGTGTGGTGCTCTTTGGGAGGCGGCGAGCTGGTGCCCCAGTTGCTTGCAAGATTCTTGCAGCACCCGGTGGACATGTTTGCGCATTCAGGGCCTTTAACCAGTATGGGCCATTCGGCCCAATAATCCCCAGAATCAACCCTTTAAAGGGCCGTTTTAAAGGGTTACAGGGTATAGTAGCCCATGCTGGAGGAGAGGAGTTCGATGCTGAGGCTGGAAAGATCGTCGAGCGGGAGTGGCGGCTCGGCGGCCACCTTCGGCAGATGCGGATGGAGTCGTCTCGGCCCCAGTCGCCCCATCTGCCCGTTGTCAGAAAGAAGATTGGTGTGCCGAAGTCCACGTTTTCTGCTTGGTGCGTGCTGACGCGTGATGCCCAGGAAGTTTCTGTCCGTGGCCGAGGCGGGATCAGCAGAATTGCTATATGTTGCTCATGGATAGGCTGATGACGGCGGTGCAGCACGAGGAAACACATAGCCTTCCGCGTAGTTGACTTTCAACCGGCTGCAGGTTTGGGGCCAACAACTGCCAAAGGGCGCAGCTGCCTCAGTGCCCGTGTGCACACATCGGCTTGTAGTGAGGGGCTTATGATGCAGAGAGCTTTGGCTCCAATTCCCCTCCTCTTGCCTGGACCCGAGCATCAAATCCTTACATCTCCTACCATGTCCTGACGTAGCCCGAAGCCTGAAGCCCATCGAAGCACTCAGCACATGCTCTTCAGGTCTGGGGTTGCCGGACTTGTGGCTCGCGGAGCCCTGCGGATGTCCGAATCTGCTGGAGCTGCCGAAGCCCTGGGGTTTGACCATGGGTTTCACGGTGGTGACAGTACTGTAGGGCTCATGGCCCGACAACTTGGGTTTCGTTTGTGTGGTTGAGTGCTTCGACGTTGACCTGGATCGCAAAGCCATGCAGATGATGCAAGTTTCTGGCTTGCTGGTTTCCGGCCTCTACTCTTCGCCCAGAAGCACGAAGATGAGCGCTTCAGCGAAATCTCGATGCAAGCAGTCCTGAAGGACAGGTATTTCCCAAGGCCCTCAGCCGTACGCGTATAAACACTACTTGTACAGTAGGCTTATCTTATCAATATCTTCAAGCCTCACCATGTGAGTTCACTTCCCTTTGAGGTCACACGGCGCGGCAGAAGAGTGCTGCAAGGCTAGCAGGGACCGTGGTGTTGTGCGATCTGGGCCTAAGATGCTCAGAGTTGGCAAGGATTGCCGAGCTTGTGTTTGGTTGAGATGTTTTCATAGGCCCGCAGTCGATTTGAGCCCTTGCGGTGCCTCAGGCCGCCCAGCGACGCGGACCCGCGCCACGAGGGTCTCACGGCTTGGGCCTGAGGGCTTTTAGGGCTTTTTGGGGTTTTGAGTTTAGAGTCCTGTGCCAATGTTTTTTCAAGATGCAGGTTTGGGCTGAAGAAGTGGGGCTGTCATCAGCTTCTTTCGCAGATGGCATAGGATCAGGGTTCGATGAAGTTCGGGCTGGGGACGCTGGATCTGCAGGGTTTGGTAACTCTGCTGGGCGTTGTACCAGCAAGTGTTGCTGAGCACCGGAGTTTCGGTTTACTTGTTCCTCAATCAAGAGTCAGATTGCGATGCTGCTTACGTGGGAGTGCATGGGTGATATGTCCACGGCTTTCGGTCTGCGCTTCATGATGAGCCGTTGCTTGGGAGGAGAGCGAGCGAGCAACACAAAGCAAAGGAAATCCCTTCTCATGCTAGTCCCCACGGGGAAGTTCCACTGCATTCATGCATCCTCGATAGGCGACAGCGTTACTTGAAGATCTGTTTTAAGCTTGAGAGGTCCTGGTGGCCGATTCCTTCAAGGACCTGGTGCTGGAGTCGAAAGAGCTTTGGGCTCGGCAGGGTTGCTGCAACGGACTCATGGTAAGGTTTCGGTATGCAGCGTGTGTGGGTTTAGAGTTGAGGGCTTTGCATAGGGTTGAGAGCTTGGTTTTTTTGGTTTGACGGAGATTTGTTTGCCCCGTCAGTGCCCCATGTTCATAAGCCCCCCCCCCCCTAAAACCCTGAACCCTGAACACCCTAAACCCTGTCCTTGAAGGGCACCCCCCGGAGTCGGCAATGCCCAAGCGATGTTTGAACAATTCTTGCAGGCCTGGATTAATCTGTAACATAGCCGAGACATCATCAGCAGCCTATCTCCAGTGACGACAGTGACGACCACGCAGACCTAATAGCCACGAAGGAGGTGGTTCTAGCCTGTGTTTGCGTGCGCTTGCTGCTTGAGGCACGTGTTTGTGCTGATCTACGCGCCCTGGTGCGAAGCCTGTGCGGCACTAAGAGTCGGTTTTGTCAATCTGACAGTTGACGGATTCAGATTGGGCCCATGATACAGTAAACAAGAAAAGCCAGGGTTTACAGCTCGTAGGGTGCTTAGGGTTTTGGGGTTTTGAGAAGGCCACCACCGATGCAACCTGTGGCCCCAAAGCCCAGCCCAACCGCATCCCAGCTACATGGCTAAGGCTGGCAGGTTTTTTGCGTGTGTGAATGTATGTGTATATACAATATCATATATATATATATGTATATCATATTATTTATTTGTTTGCTTTATTTTTTTATCTATATTGATTCTTACAGAAGAGTTTAAGTTGGTAATTATGAGGGTTAGAGAGTTTACGGGTTCCGGGCGCCTGCCTCCTCCCCAATTAGCCGCTGGGGTGCGTCGAGGCCAGGAGGTGAAACCTCACTGGAGGAAGCTGGCGAAGATGCTGAAGGATCCCTGGGGGGGGTTGGGGGGGCAGGGGGCTTGGGGGTTTTGGGGTTTTGGGGGGATTAGGGGTTTAGGGGTATGAGGGTTTCAGGGTTTAAGGGTTTAAGGGTTAGGGTTTACGGGTTTAAGGGTTTAAGGGTTCAAGGGTTCAAGGGTTTAAGGGTTTAAGGGTTAAAGTGTTTTGGGTTGGGGGGAGTCCCTTTTAATACGCGGTTTTATAATGAACGAAGAGAAGCATGAAAACCGCTATTAAATTTGGGCTTTTAATTCGGGACCCCAACCGCCTGTCTAACCTTCCGGAATCTCCTAAAAGCCCAAAATTAGTATTAAAATTAGGGGTAATGAAGTGAATACGAAGCACGCCCTAATTTAATACTACTTTTGTTGGGCTTTTAAAGGAGTTCACGGCGCGGTCATCAATAAGGCTTGGGATTCACTCCGTTCATCTGTTTCCAAGCTTATTGTAACCGCTGCGTTCATTCACATCGTGCGTGCATTTGTAATACAATTCATGCGTCCCTTGTCCTTATAATTGTATTAATGCACGAACGAAGTGAGAACGCGTACTGTAATTCTATTGCAAACTAGTGCGCGAATAGAATGAAAGTAGCGCACGAACGTAGTGAAGTGAGAGTATACTGGCCCGTGTGAGTGATTAGTGATAGAAGTGCGTGTACACGGGCTAATATTAATAATATTAAATTACAAGGAATCGCGTGAATTTAATATTATTACTAGCCCGTACGCACGAAAACCGCATGAAGATAACGAACGAAGTCACACACGGCGGCTGTAAGGTTAGGAAAGGTCCTAAGGTAGCAAAATTCCTTGACAGGTAAGTTCCGTCCAGCATGAGCGGTGTAATGACTTCCTCACTGTCACTACCCTCGTCTCTCAGAAATTGAGTCATCCTTGATTACGAGGAAGCCAACGGCCTAACAATAAGACCCTGAGCACTTGGCCGTTCATGTTTCGTTCACCCATAAGCCCCTATTAATAGTGGGGAGTCGGGGGATTGCGTGTCTGGACGTTTCATGTGGCCAGCATTCTCAGGGTCGTCCCCACAAGTTCCGTCGCCTTCCTGTGCTTCTCTTTGTTCCCCCACTCGGGACTCTGTGGGCCGCCTGCAGCTTTTGCTCCATGCTTAAATGAAGGCCTGTAACTAGAGTAGATTATGGTAGCTTCTGGTCCGACCATGTAGTAATGAATCAGAAATCTGCACGGTGCAGCTAGCTCCCGCAAGAGACCCTGGCACCCCGTATAGTCAGTAGTAATGGTTTGCAGATGTAAAAGCCCTGGCTCGGATGAGAATGAAAGCCTTGGCGCAGGGGTCGAGCAACATACGCATTGCTATGATGGACTCGGATGAGAACGATGTGCCTGCAGCTTAGGGAAGCTCGACCACGGGCTTTTTTTCGGTTGTGTGAGCATGCCGAGGCCCAACCGCTTCTTCCCAGAGTCTTTCATACCCAATGTGAAGCCCAGCGCTGAGCATCTTGTCAATTCCTGGGCACATGCTTTCCGGGTTCGCTCTGGCCAGCGGTTCCGACCGGCTTGCAAGGAGCTCACAAGCCGCTGCTGTCAAGCATTGTTTAGAAGAGGGGCATTATTTGTTTTGTGGAAGACCGTATCAAGCAGAACTGGTTTCAAGCTTCAACCCACGCGTCATTGCAATGCCGGTCTTGCCCACATGCTGTAATCCCGAATCCAGCAACCATGGACTCAACCTAGAGAGCTGACTCATTTCATGATGCGGTCACGTCATCGGCGATGGTGGCGTTGGCCGACTGTTGCGCTGCTGGTGCTCTTCGCAAAGGCCACTGGTGTAGCACATTGTTAAGCGTAGCCGTAGGCTTAATGAGGTTTGTGAGCCCCCCAGGCAGCCGCACTGCATAGAGATGCATGGAGAAGCCTGAGCAGCTTGCGACACTCTCAGTCTCAGCGCCAAAAAAGAAATTTTAAATGTGCGACCCTCTGCAAGGACCACGGAGGCTTCTCAGCGCCAGGCGGCGGAGCTGTAAAACGACGCATGTCTCCCGATTTTGCCTGGCCTCGGCATGTCAGTAGGCCTCAAATGGCTTTTGGATGCTTTAATTCAGGTTTAGGGTTCTGTGCAGATGTGACAGTATCCGGTTTGCATCAGTTCCAAGAGCTGTAAAGTCGGGCTTAGGATGCATCAGTGAAAAGGGTCAATCTAAACCGTAACACTAGGGCCCCGATAATTTTGAAGGTAGCATTAGGAGTGGCAGGAACCACTCCATGTTTTTCAGTGTATCGCTTTCATAGCAGTCAGTCGTCATGAGCCTGTTAGGCAGGTGGGCCACACACAAAGGCACAGCTCGCAACAGCAGCGCGTCAAACTCATATCCTGCTGATGCCTCCATCCCGCACCCTAAAGCCTAGCCCCCAAACCCTTCAATTCGCCCTGGTCACCCCCAAGCCCGAAACCCATAAGTTAAGGACTCATCAAGCTGGGCGTTCCACGGAACGAGGCGGCCGGAGTGGCAGCTCTGGCCGAGGCTTGCTCTACTTGCAGCTTGTTTATGGAGTTGGGTTGCGTTTGGGGATGCACAGATATATCTATACATATACATATTATATATATATATATATATATATATATTATGTATATATATATATAGATATATATATATGCGCCATGAAGTCGTGAGTCGTGAGATACCGACCTATAGGCTATGCCATTCTCCCCTTCCAGGCCGTGGCAGCAGACGGCCCCGAGCCGCTGTCGGACCCTCTCACGCTGCTGCGGTTCTATAGGCCGCGACTGGGGAGCCCAACGAAGCCTACGGTTTTTGAATTTAGACGCTTTGGGCTTCGTGAGGTGTACAATTTTCTGTCAAGGGCTTGTGGGTTTCGGGCTTTGAGTTGTAGGGCTTCAAGTGCCATCACCCGCGGCGCATGACGCCAGAGCACCCGTAAATGATGCTTCGCTCCACTTCATCTGAGAAAAAATGCCCCATGGGTGTCCCAAGCAACATAACATCCCAGTGCAGAACCTTGTTCGGCTTGAATTTGGTTCGGGATGTTATCGCCTGGGGAGATTTCGGAGCTTGAGAATGAAAGAGCTAAAAAGAACTTCAACCTGCCAGGGCTCGCGACCGTGACGTGGAAGCCGCTGCGAGTATGTACAAAGACACCCTGGAATGGCGCGCAAGCTACTCCATTCCCAAGGTCATGGATGCTTACGGCAAGCCCGGGCAGTACAAGGCAGACTCCAGCCGTGCTACGGACACCGCCGATTGGACGTGGGTGTGTGCTCCGCATACCCCCGAGTCGCAACTTGCCATGCGCCATGCATTCTTCGGTCGCTTGTCCACCAAAGTCGCGGACGAGCCCATCTTGATCTGGCGTGCTGGAAGTGCAGACTACCAGGGGATGGTGCGAGAGGGTTTGGTGGATCTAATGACACAGGCCTTCGTCGTCCACTTGGAGGATATGAGTTATAGACACAACATGCTTGCACATGCTTGGTGATCCGGGGTGTTCTAGCACAGAACGTTTCTGATCGAGGCAGCGCAATTCCTTTTGAATCGTCCGAGCAAAGGCCTGCTGTTCCTGAACCTCAAACAGTCTCGGAACCCCTGAAGCCAGGACACCCTTCAAGCTGCACGCGCCGCCTCCTTGAGAAGACGTGAGCTAGTTCGCGCCCGTCTCATCATCGACTGCGAGGGCTTCGGTTTCGACAACGCTCGCTATATCCCCATCTTGCGGAAGATCATCGGCCTCGGCAAGTCATACTTTCCTGAGGTTACTGCCTCGGTGACTGTGGTGCGTGCACCTGGCTTCCTTGCAACCTTCTATGGCCTCCTCAGGCCCCTTTTGCCTAAGCTGCTGCAAGAGAAGGTCTGCATACTGGGCAACGACTTTGCAGACGGCTTGCGGAAGCATACAGGGCTGGACCTCGCAATCTTGCCTACCTTTCTGGGCGGGAGCGTGACGGAAACTGGGATCGGCGAAGTCCTTCCCGTCCCGCAGGATGCCTGGAGCACTCGCTCCAAGTGACATGCAGGGCACTACTGTTAACGCCGTACTTCCCCTTCGTGGCGAGTTTCAATGGCCGCGCGGTGACAAAAAAAGGGGCGCTACTTAATTTCAGGACCAGCGCGCTGAGGTGTGCGGACCTTTTCGGTAGCACTGCCACAGAGAGGTTCCAGTTTGTTCAAGCTTGCCAGGCTTTCTACCCCTAAACCCTAAATCCTAAACCCTAAACCCTATAAACCCTAAACCCTAAACCCTAAACCCTATAAACCCTAAACCCTAGACACCTTGAAGTGGGAGCCCTGCGCCAAGGCTTTTCCTGGCCGGCAAGAAAGGGAAGCCACTGGCATGCAACAGCCGGGAGCGGACCTTCGAGTCCTGTCCCAAGCAGGAGGGTTTAGGGTTTAGGGTTTAGGGCTTAGGGCTTAGGGTTTAGGGTTTAGGGTTTAGGGCTTAGGGTCCGGTGAAAAGTTTGGGCTTCGGAGTATGTTCGGGTTGAGGAGCTGGAGGGGTTTAGGATGGCTGGACATAGGCCCGAAGCATGAACTCGTGATACCCCGAGGTGGAGATAGTTGCAATTTACTCGTGTGGTCATTTTGGGAGTTTCCATGCCGTTGGCGACTGCGCACTCTAATGGCCGGGCTTGACGGCAAGGCGTGTGTCCCTAAGATGGGTTGACCTCAAGTTTAGGTGTCTTGTGGAACTTCAGTAGGTCTCAAACTTGAAAAAGGGGGGGGGGCGTTTTGTTTTAAAATGGTTGGGGAAGAGCCTGACGTCCAACACCCGAAGGCCAGAGCCAAGGGGGCTTCCGGTGTTCGGACCAATCAGGACATTGGAGTGAGCTAGCCCGGGGAGGCCTAAGCCCGCGACCTACGAAAGAAATTCTACTGTTGCCATAATACTATTATTATTCCAGAGACATGTGCCACTAGAATAGATTCTAATCGTGTAATAATTTATCATGCACTAAGGCGGACTCCCCCACTCGAGTGTTGAAGGCTCTTCTTAAGCCCTGCGTCCACGGAGTCCAGGTCGTACGTGAAGTTCCTGGAGGAGCACACAAACGTCAGCCTCGAATCTGCCGCGGAGGCCGGCTCTGAAATATGACTTCTGTGACAGAAAAGAGAGTAAAGGGTTTAAGGTTTAGGGTTTAGGGTTCGGGTTTCGGGTTTAGGGTTTAGGGTTTAGAGACCTGGCCGGAATCTTGTTATCGCAGGATAACGAGGGGGCTCTGGGACATATTTGTAGGCTCGTCACCAGTAGCTTCTGCTTGCCGGTCCGCTTCCTGAAACGGGGGGTGCCCGAAGCCCTTGACTACCAGGACTTCTATCCGACCTACTGCGAGCTGCACGGTGCCGGCAGCCTCAGTGGGCCCATGAGCTTGAGGCGTTCTGGAGTGTAGGGTTGTTGAGTCGTGAAAGGGGGGGGATTGGAAGCCCTAAGGTTAGGGCTTCTTAGGGTTTGCCCATGCCTCGGAGCAACACAGCGTCCGGGCCTTGGAGGCCAAATATCCCAAAGTCCTTAGATTTAAACCCCCACCTAAACCTCAAACCCACAAGCACGGAAAGCACTGAAGCTCCTGAGTCTTTAGGCCGGCCTCCAAAACTTCCCAGTCCATAGCCCAAGGTGCCTGCTCTGGTGGAGGAGCTTCGGCAGGCGGCTATGATTCAGGACTGCTGCCTGCCTGCCTCAGGGCATGCCAGTTGCAGTCTCCTACCTGTACAAGCATTGGGAATCCGGAAGGCCCGTACCTCCCTTGCCGAAACACCCGAAGCCCACGTAAGGCCAGATTCCTGAACCCTGCAGTCCTGACTCTCAAAGCCCCTGAATCCAGGCAGCGGGGCAGGTAGGCCATTGGCCATAGGATAATCAGTCCCACTCTTCCACCGCTATCTCCACCGAGGAGCTAAAGTTGATGCAGCAGGGTCCCAAGAAATTCCTGCTGAGGGTTTTAAGGTTTACAGGGCTTAGGGTAGGGAATGAAGGAAGAGTATGAAGAGCAACCGTCAGAATATTGTTTTCCTTCATGCCCCTCGAAACTTTCATCCAACAGTAAGAGAAGTCATGGCATGCAGGGTTTGCGGCTCTGTTTGGTTAACTTTCTGGTTTTGGGAGTTTAGAGATGTTTGGAGGCAGCTAGGTTAGACCTTGCCAGCTGTGTGCTCCCCTCTTCCTACCACCCTAATCAGATTTAAGCCCAAGAGGTAGCATTCACAACAGAATCAGAACCTTAGCACCAGCAGGAGAAACTAGTGTAGACTACCATGCAGATGTCAATGCTGCATTCAGGGGCAAAAGCGCCAGCAGATTCTCCAATTTCCATGATGATGACAGAGCTTTGTTGCTACATCCGACACATTCAGAACAACTCTTTGATGTAAAGCCCCCAAATATCAGGAAGCTACTAGACCAGAGACTCCAAAAGGGCACCCGTAGTTTAGATGAAGCTCGAAGCCCGAAGCCGCTGGACCGCCAACTTCCACTGCTCCCCCGCCTTCCCCTTCACTCCCAACAATCACCTCCCTCGCAGAAGAAAGAGATCAAGTTTAAGGGTTATATTCACATGTTCATGCAACATACCGGGCAGATGCTATAACAGTGGGTGGGTGGGAGCCTGCCATCCGCCTTTTGGCGTGATGCGGCGAACAGACTTTTAAACGACCTACCCAAAGTCATCCCCAAGCATAAATGCCCCAACCTTACAACCCAACCCGAAAACCCGAAAGGCCCTTAAGCCCTCAACCTGAATCTCCAACCCCCACAAAGCCCTACAAACCTGTAAAGAATAGCCTTTGGAAGCCCTGAAGGCCTTCAGACCCGCTGCTTCCAGGTGGCGGCGGCCACCGACGCAAGCCTTGGCTTCCTTCCTGTACTCCTACTTGCTGGACGCTTGCTTCTTTTTGGAGTTTAGGGTTGAGGGTTTTTTTTTTGCGGGGGGGGGGGGGGGGGGGGGGGGGGGGGGGGGGGCCTACCTCCATAGGTGCAGAAGGTGCCCCTCTAGGTCGGGAGGTGGTTCGGAGCGCAGGATCCAAATGTTTACTCGTCGGTGGCGATTACTCCGCTGGCAGATGCCCTTGGCTCAGATGCCGGGCTACACGGTACCGAGCCTCTTTGAGGCATGAGCGAAAGCTCCTGTAAGCTGTGGTCTCTATAAAGGCTACTAGCACATCACTTCTCAGTGATGCCCGAAGATGCCAGGCTCACATGCAACACGAAACGCTGATTCCCTTACTACAACGCACCAAGCCTGAACGTCGATTTTCTCGCGGAGGTCAGCCCGGAGGACGCCCACCAGTTGGCTAGAGCCTCGTTTCGCCAGAAGCTTCGACGACGGAGGGTACGGTGTTATTGGGTGTTAGCAACCAGGTTTAAGCAGCTTGTAAATTGTAAACATGAGGCTTGTAATCTGGCAGGATGAGTGGTTCAACACGCGAATCTAGAAGTACTCAGCCTCACCGGGCGTTACCCATCCTCCACCGTGACAAGTGAAACGAACTCTCGCTCAGCCTTCTGAACTTTCTCTGAGCGAGAGTTGCCGCGTCTCGAAGATCGGTGCACCTTGCTTCCTCCACCCCAAGATGTCCCAGCCCTGAAACAGTCTAAACCAGCCTGTCGCCTGTCGCCTCACACTCCGAGAGCACGGACCTTGAAGCGCTCCTCACCATTCACTTCATCCATATGCCCCAGGCTCCTACACCTGAGCAGTCGCCGCTGGTCATCCAGAGGCTACGTGGGGCTTCAAGTTAAATCAAAAGGCATGCAACCTTTTCTCCAGAATCTACCTTTCCTGTTCGTGCGCAGCAACTCAGATCACCCTACAAACCTCCTCAAACTGAGCCGGGCCAAGCCCAGCCATGGTGTCCAACATTAACATAAATCACTGGACCACGGCCCCTAAGGACTTATAAACTCTGAGCCCTAAGAGCCCATCCTCAAAGGCCTGACGCCGTTGCACTCCCACCCCTGGACTTTCTGCAGCTCTGGACTAGGGTTTTTCGGCCAAGCACACGTTGGTGCCTGGGACCTGGCGGACCCGAAACCTTCAGCAAAGAAGCAATGGCACGCTAAACGCCCTGCACTCAAACCCTCTAAGCCCTAATTCTGTCCTGAACCCTCAACCTCGAACCTAAGTCAAAGTCATTCAGACCCCTAGTTACAAGCGCTAACAAACACTAAAAGCCTTAAACTCACTGTTGCTTTTGGTTATAGTGAAAAATGCAAGGTATGAGGTATACTTATCTAGGACCCATTGTAGGCCCTTAAGTTCCTTTTTTGAGGTTGCCTCAGAAGCCCCTTCAAACCAACAAGGGGCCCCCTTCTTACTTTTAGGCTACTCTTGGGCCTCGTTACCACTACTCCCATGACGCCTTCATTCCCTGCCAGGGGTCTGCCTGATCCCGAAGTGGCAGCCCGGCGGCTGGCGCTTCGCCTCAGCTCTCTTTTTTGTTAAGTGGCGTCTCGCTTATTATTAGGGTTTTAGGGTTTACGGATCAGGGGTGATACTTCAGGTCCAGTTCGGGGAGGTTGGTTGTGCGGCTTAGGTTTATGGGTTTGATTCAGGAGTTGCATCGGTTCAGGGTTTAGAGTTAGGATCAGGGAGTTAGGATCAGGGCTTCTGTATTGTCTGGGTGACTTTGGGCTCCGGGCATGGGGACTTTTTTAAGACTTGGGGACATGGAGTTTTTGAGCTTCCCCGCATCCCAGTCTTGGAGTCTGCCGTACATGTTGCATTCGTAAACCCCGCCTCGGAAGGTTCTCTCCGCACGGAAGATTTTCGGCCCGCAGCGAGTATCACAAGAGCCGGCTTTTGGATGAAAACTCTCAACAGCAACACACGCAAATTAACGTAGATGCTTGTCCAGGGTAAAGCGTTGCCCGCCATGGATGAAGCACTTGCCCGGCTATCGGAGTCTCTTCAACAAGAGCTTCAGTCTCGGATGCATCCGCTTGTGCAGAAGTTTTTGGCCGAATCCGTCGAGCTCTGTAGGCAAGTTTGCGCTCAGCAGTTTGCAGAGTTCCAGAATCATCAGTCCCAGCTGCATGTGGCAGCCGATCCGGTAGTCACGGCTGTAACCGAGGGAAGAGGGCCCACACGTGAGGAAGCTGCGAAGCAAGCAGCGAAGTTGTTGGTTTCTTCTGCAATCCTGGTTTCAGCCACGGCAGAATCTGCATCTGCCAGGGAAGCCGCTGAACCAAGCAAAGCTGCCCCGGCTGCGAGCCCCGCGGCCCATCCAAAAGCCATGATGCCAAAAGCTGCAGCCAAGCCGAAGCAGGTCCCTCCCAAGGCCAAGGCCGATGCCAGGAAGAGCATCACCGAGCAGGTCATGGGCGGAGTGGCTGGCTTGCTGTCAGGCAAGGCCTCAGCACCCAAGGCAGCGCCCAAGGCTGAGCCCAAAGCCGAGCCCAAGGCAGCTCCCAAGCCAGAGCCCAAGGCAGAGCCCAAGGCAGAGCCTAAGCCGGCCAAAGCGAAGGCACCTGAGACCTCGGCGTCACTGGCGGCGCCGAGCATGCTTAGCTACATCCGCAAGAGCATCTCAGGCCCGCCGGCCAAGGTCCCTCAAAGCCCGGCCCCGAAGGGCAAGGCAGAGGCGAAGAAGAGCGCCCCCAAGATGCCAGAGCACAAGGCCACGGTCAAAGCGCCTGCGAAGCCGAAGCCTCCACCCCCGACCGCCGCTGCGACTGCCGAGTCTGCCGAGTCCGCCGAGGCCAGCGCGGAAGTTCTGGGGGACTTGGAAACATTCTAAAGCCCGGCAATCTGTTGTTATAGCCGTGACCTACTATACCGGATGGACAGGCCCGTCGACAACATGCTTGACGACCTCTCGATCTGCCTCAAAATGTGCACCATCTGCAGCGCTCGGGAAGACAAGCATCGATTTCGGCAAAGTGCTGGGGGAGTGCCGGGCCACCTCAGCTCTGTTCCTGCATCGATACACGAATTATCCCCCCACTTTTCCTTGCATGGCCGTTTAGTAAAGTCAAATCCCGCACCGGAACTCCAAGCACCACAACACCTTAGTTCTTGCCAATGGACAACGCAATAATGCCAAAGGCCAACAAGCCCACGAAACACCTTGAAGCATGCCAAACTCCCCTGAAGCACTGCCCCAAGCTGCTGGTCGTAAGTGGCTCGATGATCCCCTTTGACTTGAGGCCGTGCCGGAGCCGCCGAGGCAATGACTGTGAATTAGCATGGGGTTTCGATGGAAGTCGCCTACTCAAGCAAAAATTTGGGGTAGGATGGCCCCTACAGGAAAAATGCCAAGAGTTACCCTGAAAAGACTGGAAGAGCATGATTTGGTTTTGTTCAGGGCTGATTGGGATCTACATGTTCCAAGGGTTTTGGAGTTGGGATGTCTGCGGGTGCTGTGCAGCAGAGCTGCTAAGCCTCTGAACTCCTAACGTGCCACGTGCTACAAGGTTTGCAGCCCTGTCGGGTGCGGTTAGGGTCGTTCGATTCGACGCGAAATCAAAAGATGGTTGTGTTGGAAAAATTGTTGATCTCACCCTGTAAGCGCTTAACCATAGCAAGGACATGCAAGGACCGAAACTGATCAAATCAGACGCCCCTTGCCCCCCTTCCCCCCTGCCCTGGCCCCCCCCCCCCCTCCCCCGCCCCCCCCCGCCCCCCTTGCCACCCTTTGCCCCCCTTGCCACCCTTGCCACACTTGCCCCCCTTGCCACCCTTGCCCCCCTTGCCCCCCTCCCCTCCCCCCCCCCCAACTGCGCCCGCTTTAAGGGTTCCATGAAGGCTTGTCCGTGGCATCTCCCAACCTGGCGGACCCCAAGCGCCCTCCATGCCGGGCCTCGCCAGAGCGGTCGGTGCCCGAGGAGGAAGGAGTTCAGGGCCTCTAGGGTTTATAGTTTTTTTTGGAATGAGGTTTTTAGTGTTATATATATATACATATATTTACATATATATATATATATATATACTTTTTTTATTTTTTATACAAGGGTTTTATAGGGTTTATAGGAATTAGGGCTTATAGGGTTTGTAGGGTTACAGGGCATGTTGAGGGGGAGGGGGGGTTGGGTTTATTGGGTCTATTGGGTTTGTTGGCTTTGCTGGGTTTATTGGCTTTATAGGTTCGGGCTTATAGGGGTTAACGGTTTTAACCGTGTTTATGCGTGTCTCGGCTGGTCAGCGTTACTTGTACGGGCGTTTCGTCGTCTCTGGAATCCTGTCTAGGGGTTCTTGCAGCTGAGGTCGAAACTGGGGTTTAGGATTTAGGGTTTAGGGTTTAGGGTTTAGGGTATTTCAGCTCTAGATGAACTCTCAAAATGCATAGGGGACTTGAGGGGGTGGGTCTAGCTGCCTAGGGATGGATTCTAGCAGCAATCCCAGTCCTGCACCATTTTCGGTGCTAAAGGGAGCTTTGACAGCCAAGACTTGTTTGATGGACGGCCTAAGGCTTCCGAACAGCGGTCGTCGCCCATCGTCCTGCCTCGTGGTTGCAGTTTATGGGAGAGCGGCGCATGTCTCGTAGCTCGGCTTGGCCGAGCTCAACTGTGAGATCCAGTGGTTTCCAAAGTTAGCCCTACAGCCAAGGACGCGGGTCGTTTCGACACCGCTGGAACAGGCCCGCGTAAGCTGATTTTTCACGAGCTACGCTTCGCACCCGTGCTGCTTGCGCTGCACGGCTGCATGCGCTGAGGTGGCCGACCCCCACAAGTTGGAAGAAGAGCTCAAGCGGCAGCCTCGTCATGGCATGGGTCAGACTCATGCTCGTGAGTCCCACAGCCCCTTCTTAGGCGAGCCCATCTGGCCGAGCTCTTGGACTTTAAGCTCCAGGCGGAGCTGAAGAAGGCCCCCGGGAAGTCTCTGTCGCCACTTTCCCGGCGAGGTGGCTGGCGAACCACCCCTTGACGCTAGACTCCGCCCGACAGCCACACTGGAAAGCTGGGACTCGTAGCGTCGTAGCGAATGGCGGAACTGATGGAGATGTCACGTCGGTCGCGCAGGCGCAGCCGGATAATGTCCGGGACTTTGTGCGAGATTTCTGCCTGCGAATGGCGGCCGCCTCCCCAGAGAGAATGTGGCAGCCGCGGGGCTACAATGACAGCTATGCCAATGCCAGCGGTTCCAGAACTTGGAAGATCAGATTAAGCCAATGCAGCAGCAAGCCACTCAAGAAGCCTTCACGACACCACAGCTCACCAGTCAATTGCGTCCGGGGTCACCACGCAAGCCTATTTTGCCTTTGGACTTAGTTGGTTCTCTGTTTGTGATCTTGCGTGTTACAGTGTCTCTAACTGTTGGACAGTATTGAAGTTGTGACGCCATATTGGCCCCAACTGTAAACCACAACCCATGATGGTACAACGATGTTCCTCTTGCTTTCGAAGGCGTACCTGGATTTCTATTACAGAATTGTTGAGCAGAACGATGGTGCGTTGAACCTGGTGCTTACCATAAAACCCTAGATCTTGCCTGTCAAGTTCCCAGTCTTTAAGCACAGCACTTGCTGGACACGGTTCATCAGTACAGCAGCTCGCAGACACCACGTCTTTACTGTATCTCAGTTCACCACATCGACGCATCATCAGACACTTGGACACATGAACCCCACGAACTAGTTTCCCCGTGCAAGTCCGTGATCAACTCATTGTCTCTGTATCTCGCTTGCCAGCATTTCCTAAGACTTGCCGTTGGACCCTTGACATCCCTACACCCCAGGCGCCCCACTTCCAGCACCGGCTCTTCTTCAATGCTCTGCAAGGAGTGTGGGACGCTTAGAGCCGGCTGGTGGGACATACTTTTTTGAAGGACGCAGGGGGGGAGGGGGGGGGGGTTCAGGATCATCTGAGTAGGTCGCGCTCGCATCAGCGAAATCAGCAACGCTAAGAACGCTAATGCCTTCATAATCCCAAGGCTTCCTTTCAAAGGGAAGAATCCGAAGAAGCATCTTCGCCATGTGGGCTCTTTGTAGTGTCTTGGAGTTGAGGATGATCAGAGGAAGGGACGACGCATGTCAGCTTCGCCTTGGCCCCGCGCCGGCCTTTTCGTAGCATTTTCGCACTCGATGTACAAGGGGCTGTGAGTCGACTATCGGGCATCTCTAGGCAGCAGAGTCCTCAAGCTGCTGGAACTAAATATACCGCGCGCAAAGACGGATGGTGCGGAATGTCATGCTGATGCGGAGTTCTCGTTCCTATTGCAGGGTTGCGCAGCCTCTGGGAAGTCGGATTAAGGTCCTGGAGGTCATGCCCGCATGCCATCAAGATCGTCGCTGCTGCTCGCGTCTTCCGCTGTTTGAGGTGAGCCAGCTTGGGGCAGCTGAAGGATTCAGGGTCTTCAGGCATTGACGGTATAGACTGTTGGCTGTTCATGGAAACATATCCCTGCTCAAGCTACATCGCCATGGAAGGCTCCTGCTATGCCTCCATCAACCAAAGAAAGTGGTGCACAGATTCCCTGTTTTAAAGCAGAGCCAGGTTCCTTTGTTTCCTTGCAAGCAACCCTCTTTCTTTTTTTGGCTTTCTTGGAATGGCATTTGAGGGTCACAGTCCTGTACGACTTGCATGTAACCCTCAAGAAACCGAGGGGTTGAGGGTAGATTCGCAAGGCGGTGGGTCAAGCGCGAGCTGGCGCGGTTCGGCCGGGAGCCACGGGTCCTTGAACCCTGGGCCGAGGCGCCAGGGGAGACTCGGGAAAATCCGCCCCCAGCCCCTAAATTGCCTTGTGTTTTGGCTTCGGGTGTAACTATAGGGGTACAGCCCCAGGAGGGCCCAGGATCCCTCAAACAGAAGACACCGAATCCGCTGTTTTAGCCTTGAACCTTGACGTTGACAGAAGGGCCGGGCAAAAGAGGGTCCGGCACCGAAAGGCCTGCGAGACTCCTGGTTGGGGCTCCAACAGACATGCATTCATCTAGGTGAGCTTTTGCGAAGAGTTGCGAGCTAAGAAGAAGAGTTTCGAAAGGCCCGCGTGGCACCTATGACAGCCGCGGCGCTGCGCAGCAATTGGCGGCGAGCGCGGGGCCTCGTCTTGTGAAAAGATTCTCGCGTCAGTAGCATAACCATCCCGGATGAACGATTGAATCTGAGTCGTCCTATGTTGTCCTTCCAACTGTCAGGAGAGTCGTAGTCTTGCACGGTTGCTTGATGGAAATGTGCTCTCCTATGACTTCACGCTGCTGAAGCAATGGTTTGTGTCGTATGTCGCAGTCGGACCCCCACCCCGCTCTCCAAGTTGTATAGGCTTTGCAAGAAGCTTCGTGCTACAGCTGTAGTGGCCTCTTAGACAGGACATGTGGACTTCCGAAATTAGGGATACCTTCTTGGGGTCCTTATTATCAGGGAATCCTACTATTTGGGGGTCTATTTTGGGCATCCCCTATTTTTGTAAACCTGGGCTCCACGTGGTGAGGTCGAGGAAGCCATCTGCAAGGAGATGCCGCGAGAGGCAGGGTGTCACTCCTGAGGGTACGATACTGTAGCTTGGCCCTGATACCGTGGGATGTTCCCCCGTGCCCTAACAGCCCTAAATAGAGATTAAAATATAGGGGGGGGTGCTATAATCCCTATTAAGGACTCCAATGACTTTGGGAAGAAGTTTGAGGATTTATTGCAGGTTCGGGCCTGGGCCACTGTAGTTCTCTTCTTAGAAAAACGGAGCCCGGCAGTGGATGCCATCTGCCCGCCGTGCCGACCTCTTGTGATCTGTTTTTGTTGTTGACGTGTTCTTTGTTTTGTCTTGAGCTGCTGGGCTTTGTTTTCGTAAGTTTGGTGGCTTGGCGGTGCGCTTTCTGGAAACGAATTGAACTGATCTCGAAGCCTATATTTTCAATGCCTCTGGTTTCAGAGGCAGCCCCATCAAGTAATCAAGCTTTAGTGTGAAATTGCAAGTAGGAACGGTGACAAGAAGCTCACTACACCCGCGGGACGTAGAGTTTTGGCTCATAGCCTTTATATGAGCCCTCAACCCGAGTCCTCAACCCATCTAGACCATAATGCCCCAAAACTCTATGAACGTTTATAAACACTATAATTCGATAGCCACCAGCCCTCAACCTCACCAAGCCAGAGCCAGGCTGGTGTTGCCTCGCTCCAGATTTTGCTGGAGCGAGGGTTCGACCCCAATGCCGCACCCTTCGGCGTGTCGCAGGGCACTCAGCCTGAGCGAGTATCTTAGGGTTCCCGTTTTAGGGCTGTCGATAGGGAGAATGACCAGACTGATCCTTCTTCAAAGGGCTCTCGCTTGCTTTTGGAAATTGCGTTGGACCTTGCGAGAAGACGACGGCTTGCACCCACAAATCCAGCGACATGCGAAGATGACAATGTGGCACTGCTAGGATACGAAGGCCGAGGATTGAAATCGCCCCTACAAATCGGCGTAGATGAGCCCTCGAATGCCTCCAGGCCGTTGCTGCTCGCCTCGCTGTCAGGGACCGCCTGCATCTTTCGGGGTGGTCCTGGAATGAGATTCAGGGTGTAAGGGTTTGGTTTGAGGTTTCCGGGCTGGGGTGGAGTTCTCATGCGGGAAACCGCAGTCTGAGGGAAAAACCAAGGAGCATTTGAGGCCGAAAACCTCAGAGCCTTCCGTTCGCCAGCTGCTATGCTCAAGCCTAGCGGCATACCATCGCCCATCGCAGACCCTGTGCGCAGAGTGCGATGGCCGCCCCCCGACTCAGATGACCGAGAACCCTTTTGGTCGAGATCAGAACCTGTAGCTTCTAGACCCTGGTCTGTAACAACCCCGCGTCATCCTTTCTAGTGGAGCCCTGACCTGGTGACCTGCCCGTCAGCTGACCATCTCAAACTCCAACCGCAAGTCGCCACGGGAACCACAAGCCCTTAAGGCCTGAAGGCCCGAAGAAAACCTTTGTCGCTGAGGCGGTACCTCCTCAAGAGAGATATCAGAAGTTGAACAAGATCGGAGAGGGCTCATGTGGAGTGGTTTTCCGCTGCAGGCCTGAAATGGTGGTTTCGGGTTTGGCTGGAGGATGCTGGAGGTGAGGCTTGAAAGGCATGCAATCTTCAAAGGAATCGGGGCTGTAGGGGGTCTGAACCTCGCAGCACGTGGGAAGACGCCTCAACGTGCAGCTTTACCTACAGGGATACAACTTTCTGAGCTGAATGCTGGGTTAGGTTCTACTCGTTGCCAACAGTAGCCACGTTGGCAAGAAAGTGCGAAGACGTGGAACACATTGATTGGGCGAATATGTCCTCCGCCTGACGCTGTGCTACCAGGTGTCGCCAGACTGGCCGGATCGTGGCAATCAAGAGCCTTGTCGTGCAGTGTGACAACTAGTTCAGACCCCCTTGAACCCCAAACCATCAACCCACAAACCAAAACAAAAACAACGGAACCCCACCCCTCCCCAACCCCTAAACCCTGACACACCTATGCGCAAACCCGAAAATGCCTGCCTGCGCAACAGAACCCTAAGCCCCAAATATTTGAGAAACCTCAACCCTACACCATGGGAACGGAGGAGCGGAGAGGCAGGTGGGGGTGGGGGGGGGGGGGGGGGGGGCGAATCTATGTGGTCATCTCGTTCACTAAGTCCTGATGAAAGTTGGTTTTGCATAACAGCTATACTACACCTTCAAGAATTCATTCACCAAACCTAGACACCCTAAAAAGCCTTAACCCCACGGCTCTGGTCACAAGTTTTGTTGACACCGGCGCAGCCAAGGAAGGTAAGATTCGCGTACGAAGAGCCAGGAGGCAGCATGGAGACCTTTGTGGGATTGAGGGTTGAGGGTTGAGGAGGACAAGGCATCTTTATCTTTATATTAATCTTTATCTTTTCTTCATCTTTATCTTTATCTTTGTCTTCATCTTCATCTTTATCTTTATCCTTATCTTTATCTTTATCTGTTCTTGTTCTTTCTCTTTTTCTTGATCTTTATCTCTATTTCTCTGTTTCTTTTTTGTTTATCTTTTTTTTTCTTTCATCTTTATCTTTATCTTTATCTTTATCTTTATCTTTATCTTATCTGTTCATGCCTACAGATATATTTGAAACAACGGAAGCCTAGGTCTGTGAACCCATCTTCATCACATTGCAAACTCTAAAACTGAGCCCGGATCATCCCACCCCAAACCCTGAAAAGCCCAAACCCTAAGCCCAAACGCTACACACCAAACCCTACACACCCCATACAAGCCTTCGAAGCTCCGCCGAGAAAATCGCAGGTTCCTCCGGCGGCCCCTCCCTGGCAGGAGCATTCGGGGCTTCGGCGCTGGTACTTCGTGAGGTGGGGGGAAGTGCGAAAAGGCTTGGGCTTCTTAGGGTTTAGGTACCACATGTCTGTACAACCTCTCTACAGGTTCCCCAGAATGAAACAAGTCTCAGAACCAGTAAGCTTGGAGCTGCTTGGCATTTCTAAGGGCCCTAAGGTTTAGGGCCTCCTGAGGCTTGGGGCTCGTACGGTTTTGGGGTTGCAGCGCTTGGTGTTTTTAGGGCCTTTGGGGCTCATGGGGTTTATAGCGTTTTGGGAGAGCACAGGGCGTTGTTCTCAATGGACTCGGAACTCCAACAACTCCAAGTTAACAAGGATCTTCTACCTATACTTTAGACGGCTTATATCCCTGAAGCTGAGAGCTCATCTACATGTTGTGTGCATTTCCAAGGTGGCCCTGTTGAAGTCCCTGAGCAAACACCGGGGCATTGTGCCTCTTGGCAGAATGCCAGTACCCTCCTCGGTCGGTCGGGTAAAGACAGGATGGGGTTAGCGATCAAGCTGTACTAGTAGGGGATTCCTTGTCTATGTGAAAGCTCCAGCTAGGGAGTGTTATGGCTCTCGGGCTTTCTCAGGCCCCTCTGGGAAGTCTATGCAGAAGCAGGGAAGCTCTACATGATTTTCGAGTACTTCGAGCACGACCTTGCAAGGTACATGCATGACGCAGGCCCCCTCTCCGACCGTCGTGCCTTGGCTGTCGGCAAAACAAGGTGTGTGCAAGCTTTTTAAGAGCCTTCACCCCCCCCCCCGCCCCCCAAACCTCTGTTTTTGTGCTTCGGGTTTGTCGATGTGCCTACGAGTACAGCAAGACCATGTTCCCCCGGTGCTGACTCACGATGGTTTCCGGTCTAAATTAAGTGGCATCATGGTGCTAGCCACTCACACCTCCAGAACTACCTAGGAGTGTGTCGCTTCGCCTGGCAGTTGATTGCTGCAATGGCCCATTGTCATGCGCATCGAGTGGCCCACAGGGATGTGAAGCCCCAGAACATCCTGGCGATTCGACGTTTGATGGTACTAGTTTTGTTTAACTTGTCAACACTTGTTCTGTTGTCCAAGAATGCTGCAGTGATGATGATAATGATGATACTGATGACGATGATGATGATGATGACGATGAGGAGATGGATGATGGATGATGGATGATGGATGATGGTGATTATGATGATGAGGATGGTGAGGATGAGATGAGGATGGTGAGGAGGATGATCATGACGATGCTGACGCTGACGATGGCGGTGGTTGGAGTGGAGTTCAGAAGGACCCGTGTTTCAGTCAAGAGGTTTGAATCGTAAGAGGTCAAGCTGGAGACCGACGAGGTGAAGCTGTGCGATTTCTCCTTAGCCCGCTCGGTGGTCGTGCAGCCGACAGTCTCCCAAAATCCGGAGACGCACAAGGTGGCCTCGCTTCTTTCTCGCGGTTGGGTCACATTTTACATTTTTAAGGGTACTTAAACCCAATCAGGAATATAAGCTTAATTTTTTCATACTATCCCAACCATGAACTAGGCTATGGTATCGTGGCCCAGAGATCTTGTTGGCATCAGAGCAATGCGGTCACTGCGGTGTGAGGCTGGATGTTTGGTCACTGGGCTGCGTCATTGCAGAGATGGTGCTGAATGAGCCCTTGTTTCCTGGCTCCTCCGAGATTGGAATGCTATTCCATCAGTTTAAGCTCCTGGGCACACCTGATGAAATGTCATGGCCGGGAGTGACCTCCTTGGCAAACTGGTCAGATCAGTTCCCACATTTCCGAGCCGGACCTTGGCATGAGAAGGTGCAGAGCAATCCAGCCATGCCCCTCAGGTGCTGTCGAGCAACTATGCTTTGATACTTAGTGTGCTTAATGAACACAAGAAGTACAAACTGCCACGTCTGCTTGAGATCTGAAGAGCGGCCAAGGCACAACCTCATTTCCTCTCTGGTGTGCTGCTGCCCTGCGCAGCGGCAGTCGGCCGGAGCTTTACTGGGTCACAGTGTCTTCCGCATCCTGGACCCTTCGCTTCCTTCGCTTCCTTCACACATGCCCGGCTCGGACTGCGACATGCCCGAGCCACGCACATCTGAGGCTGAAAGGTGCCAGTCAGCCCAGCTCTATACAGTGGCCCCACAGAAATCAGCCATCGAGGATGTGGGCGAGTTCTTCCACAGCCTAAAGCGAGAGAACCCAACACAGGTGTCCAGAGCCGGCAAGAAGCCCACACATTCCTCGCTGTTTGATGATTGGCACCTGAACACTCAGATTCGTGGTGTCCGCTGATCAGCTGGAAACTGAGTACAGCACAGCAAGGCCATTGTAGGTAGCATAGTGAAGTGGCCGTGAGCTGCAGCCTTTGAATCAGACTAATGTTTTGTTGCTGCTGCAAATCCCGGCGAGAGTAAGTTGCTCTCTTTTTCGTCCACGTTGTGTGCACAAGCCAGGTGAATTCAACTCAGATGCCAAGCCGTGTCGCCATTGTCGTATTTGACGAATGATGCGGATGCATGTCGTGTGTTGGGGAGCAAAACACCTACGCGCATCCCTCGGATTATTGCAGCTGGCCTGAATCAAGAAGCCAGTCTTCTCCAGGACCATTCTGCCTTTGAAGAAGGTATGCAGCGAAGACAGTGCAGCGGCGCAAAAACAGGCAACAATGTGGATGATATTCCTGTACTACTGCAGCAATCCGAAGAGACTAAGTCAGGGTCCAAGCAAGGTGCGGAAATTTCAGAAGCTTGTAGACAAAATCTACGCCTAGTTACAGGTTCTGATTTAATCTAGCCCAACACGACGTTTGGGCTCGGCAGTCGGGCTGGCCCATCGCGGGGAGCAGCATGCTTAGGGTTGTCGCAGAGACTCCAAGTGGGACAGTTGGAGTGGCAACAAAGGTCCCCAGACCTGCCAGACCTACAACCTCAATGCCTTAAGCTTATTCGCCAGAAGCCCTCAGCCAAGCTCTAAGCCAAAACATCCCGAAAGTGAACCCTGAGGCCTGGCAACCCTCTAGCCCTCTAGCTACAAACCCCAAACTGCCCTAGCACACAATCCGACTCCTTCACCCTTGAAACCCTAAGCCCTAAGCCAGGAATCTCCAGGCAGCGCAGTATCTCTACGTCCGCGGGGCGGACTTACACCGATCCGGAGGCTGGCTTAGGCTTCAAGTTTCTGGCAGGGTTGAGGGTCAAGGGTCGAGGGTGCTTATGTTACTCTTGTTGGGAGGAGGACCGGTCTGGGGGGTGGGGCGGTATAGGGTTTGGGGTCTTGCCCTTGAGCAGTTAGCATTGAATCGGAGTGTAGGAGGCTCGTCGAGGGCGTATAGGGTTTCAACACTCTTGTGGTGGGATTGCAGCAAAAGCAGCAGGCAGCAAAAGCAGCAGGGGCTAGTTAGTCGCACACGGCAAGGAATGCGCCGTCGTTGCGGCACTCAGGGATGTGCATCAATAGGGGCTCCGTTCTTGTAGCATTGGAATGTGATGGCTTCCTGCGACTCTGGCAACAGGGATTGGGATGGATTGGGCATGAAATCATGAGGCGTGAACTCAGTCTGGGTCCACCACCTTGCAAGTTGCAAGCTGCAAGTCCATCTTGATGCCATGGAATTTGGGGGCCTGCGCAAGGTGTCAGCCAGCAGCAGCAGCTGCTCCCCATCGACGGGGCTTCTGCATGCGGATTCTTGAGTCGGCGGCCAAGTCCATCGGACACCAAGTTTTGCAGATGAACGATTAACAGGTTGGATGATCGATATTCGCGGGCAGAGCGGGTGGGCAGATGAGGGGGGGATCATGTTGTATTGCAGTTGGGCGTAGCTGCCATCGTTGGAAGAGCTCGCAGAGCCAGCTAGCGGTGTTGCCACCTGCCCTTTGCCTTTGTGACACTCTGAACCTCGAAGTATCTCGGAATCTGCCCCACCAGCAGTAAGTCCAGGGGTCCCCTCCGCGAGGGACAGCCTTTCCAAAGAAATGCTTACATCTTCTGAAGGACTGGTCGGCTTCTTCCGGGAGAACGGCTCCACCGGTGCGAGAGCATTGCACTTCGCAGCAAGTCCAGGGCTGAAACACCTCGAGTTTGGGGGGAAAGGGGGGGGGGAGGGTTCGGACCTCGAGTCAAGGCCTAAAGTTGCTTTGTAGAGCCAGAAGATGTCAGAAGAGATCATGCGTCCTGGCATTCCATGCTGGAATCGGCAGCCTTTCGGGCCTTGCCCTATGCCACCCCGAGAGATTGTAAGCACTGTATAGCTTCTGTGGACAAGCTTTGAACCGATGTTTGCAGCTCCAACTGCGACTCCGGGGCTAATCCTTGGATCTAAACAAACCCTCGGGGGAACCCCGAAGCTGGCGCCTTCTTGCTCTGGTGCTGAGGCGGCGGGCACCTAGACGTCTGCCGCTACCTTCTCAGAACGGGCGTGGGGCGCCCGTCGGAGCACGGTAGACGGGACAGCAGACTACAAGGAGTACAAACACAAAGCCACGAAACACCCGGACCCACCTCCAGAACCCATAGTGCAACACAAGCCTGAAGCCCGACCCCTTCATCGCTCCAAACCAAGCCGCCAAGCCGGGACCTCGCATGGCTTGTTCTTAGCCCGGAAGGCATGTTGAATCACCCTAGAAAAGTCCCACAAAGCCCTTGGAACGCTGGAGTCCCATTCTTCAGCCCTTCTGTGGCCCTACACGGCTCTGAGCCCTAAAGTCCTAAACTTGCCATGAACTCTGACACCGAAACCGCTTCAGGTGAGTCCGGACCTGAAGGCAGACAAGGGCTTGTCGGCCTTTACGCTGGCGGTGCTGTGTCTCGGCTCGGGGGTTTACAAGCGGCTGAGGAGGTGAGGATGTGGGATTCAGACGGACTTTCAGGGCTGAGGGCGCCGGTTTTAGGGCAAGTCGTGGTTAGTATGGCGTGTGTGTAAGGTTGGGGCTTGAGGGTGGGGGGCCTCGATAGAACATTCAATGAAATGTTTCAGGGTCAGGCTCTGGGCCACCAGGGCTCCATCCATCCTGCCAACGTGCATTGAGACCTTACTTGCCGAGAGCCAAGGTGTGGAGAATGCCTCGCTGCTTTAGTTGTCGCCTCAGGACTGAGATGATCCTTTCTGCCGATCTTTAGGTCTTCAGGACTGTTGAGCATGAGGGGCCGGCCAGCTTGAGTCTTTGCCAGACGGTGTAGTTCTAATTGGGGGGAGGTGCCGTTTTGGCGTCTCCTACAATCTACGGCACCCGAAATGAGGCCCCTTAAAACAGTGACCCGAAGCCGCAAAGTGGCGACCACGAGGTTCTGTTGCCGCTGTGCGCGCCCGCGAACCTGGAAGAGGCCCGAGCTCTGGGGAGCAGTGGGGGTCAGTGAACCACGGAAGACTGAGGTACTCTGAAGTACCGTAAATCCCCCCTATGTATACCCTTTAAGAGATTATGTAGAATCCATGATGAACCCAACCTGAGCATCCCCTCTCTGTTCTTCATGAAACTGAGCCGCTGTTGAATCTCAAGCCTTGAGACCTGCAGGCGCTACCTGGAGAGCTTTGCTGGAGAGTAGGTGGGGCATTGTGGCATTGCGAGTAGTGACATCGGAGCTGGTTTTGCCTTGGTCCTTTTCGAGTGCGTTCGTCGTAGCAAGAGTTTCAGTGCAAGCCCCCCCTCCCCCCCGGGTAATTCACACGCCTTACAAGTAGCTGCATGCTGCTTTACAAAAAACTAAGGATCCCAAGCAGCGCAAGAATCCACAAGGCCTACAAAGCCCCACACAACTCCAGGCCTAGCTGGCGGCTCTACAGTTCTGCACCTGGTGGCAACTCTGGGTGGGACAAGAGTGGGCAACTCAGTCTTGTCGGTTCTTGACCCATCTGCTAAGAGTTTTAGGGTTTGAGGATATTGAAATTTCTTGCCCTCAAAGTTGTTCACAAGTGAGAAGCCTCTTGGGCTAGCGATTCTGAGCACCAGGAGCGGCTGCTCGAGCCCCTGCTCGAACGGTGTCCAGCGCTGCTGAATCGCGCGAACTGGGCGCAGGCAGTGCGGCAAGCCGAAGACATCAGCTTCACTGAAGATACCACGAGCTATGTAGGGCCCAAAGGGCCATGCGATGTGTCATGACACTGAGGACATGCAAAGAAGCCCCTAGACTCCCAAGCACCCTGTGTGTTGCCCCAGGAAATTCCGGCCATGCTCGCTCCGGCAATGCCCCGGGCCCAGCTGATACGCTTTCACTGCCAGCCCTTCTGGGTATCGACTTGCGCCTTGCTCCAGTGGGGTTGAGGGTTTAGTAGGGTTTAGGGTTTTTTTAAAGTTCAGTATTACTCGTAGTGCACTATAGGGTTGGGTAAAATCGGGCTCGGCACGCACGATACTTCCAAACGTGCGGGCTCAGGGTTTACATGTAAGTATAAATATTAGGTACCCCCCCCCCAGTGACCTACCCTTTTTCGCCTTGTCTCAAGTCACAGCTGCACTGCAAGCAAACTCGGTGTGCAATAATTATAGCGTATTTCCTAGGGCGTAGACTAAAATACAACAAAAATCGCATGCACGGGACAGTAGAAAAACCAAAAATACCAAAACCAAAAAAACCAAAAAACCAAAACCAAAAAAACCAAAAAAAACAAAAAAACCAAAACCAAAAAAACCAAAAACACCAAAAAAACCAATTTTCCGGGACTCTCAGGAAATTCCTATGAGGCTTCTCCAAGAGCCCCAGAAAATTGTTTTTTTTGGTATTTTTGGTTTTTTTGGTTTTGGTTTTTTTGGTTTTTTTGGTTTTGGTATTTTTGGTTTTTTGGTTTTGGTATTTTGGCTTTTTGGTTCGCCTTCACGGTCACGAGGCAACAACTACGCATTTTTAAGTGTGCTTATGTTAATTGTGCTTTTCAAAAATAGTATACAAGTGGTCTTTCTAGTGCTTCAGAACTTTTTGTTTCGTTATTATGTAAGTAGAGCCGCTAGTGTTTAGTGCATCTTTTGGTTGCACTCAAGTGTAGTAGACCTTATTCAGCCATTACTTGGTGCTCTGGTAGCTAAATTCGTATGGATAAGATTTGCCTGGTAAATGCGATTAATTATCTAGAAGCAGCATTTGCAATACTTGTCTTGAGAAAAAGCATTTATTGCTTAGAATTGTTTGCTTAAAAAGTGACTCCTACTCGTCCAGGGATACCCCAAAACCCTATAATCCAAACTTCACCAGAGATTCTCCTGAAAAGCTTGCGCTTTTGGATGTTTTTACGTATTTGTGAATTTGCTTGTGGTATGGCCTTCACTTTAGAAGTACTTTTCTAGGATTCTTGTGCATTTTTT